CTTGGAATATTTCTTTCCATCCCTTTACTTTCAGTCTGTGTAGGTCCTTTGTTCTGAGGTGGGTCTCTTGTGGGCAGCATATATGTGGGTCATGTTCTCTTATCCATTCAGCTACCTTGTGCCTTTTGATTGGAGCATTTAATCCCCTTACATTTAAAGTTATTATTGATAGGTACTCATTAATTTTTTCCCTTTGTACCTGTGTTCTTCTCCTTCTCACTGTTTTCTTCATCTTCTTAAAGCAGTCCCATTAGCATATCTTGCAATGCTGCTTTGGTGGAGGTGTATTCTTTTAGCCTTCTTTTGTCTGGGAAGCTCCTTATTTCACCTTCCATTTTAATTGAGAACCTTGCTGGGTAGAGCAGTCTTAGTTGTAGGCCTTTGCTTTTCTTGATCTGGAATATTTCCTGCCATTCCCTTCTGGCTTGTAGTGTTTCTGTTGAGAAGTCAGCTGCTAGTTGTATCAGGGCTCCCTTGTATGTTACTACCTGTCTCTCCCTTGCTGCCTTTAGGATTCTCTGTCTGATATTTGCCATTTTAACTATGGTGTGTCTTGGAGTGGGCCTCACTGGGTTCCTCTTGAATGTGGTCCTCTGTGCTTCCTGGACTTGCATGACTTTTTCTCTCTTCCAACTAGGGAAGCTTCCCATCATTACTTTTTCAAACAGGTTCTCTATCCCTTGTTCCTCTTCTCCTTCTTGTATCCCTAGTACATGGATGTTATTAGGTTTCAGGTTGTCCTGCATTTCCCCCCACGCCTTTTTTTTTTTTTAATCTGTTTTCATTTTCTTGCTTTTTCTGGGAGCTCTTTTCTAACTTGTCCTCCATCTCACTGATTCGATCCTCCTCTTCATCTAGCCTGCTGTTGACTTCTTCTACTGTGTTCCTCAATTCAGAAATTGTATTCTCCATGTCCTCTTGCCTCTTATTGATAGTTTCTATGTCCTTTTTCATGCTGATATAATTTTCAATAAGTTCCTCATAGTTTCCCTGTAGTTTCTCATAATTCTCTTAGAGCTCGCTGAGCTCATTGAGCTTCCTTAGAACCACTCTTTTTAACTCAATATCTGATAGTTTATTTGCCTCTATTTCATTTAGTTCTCTTTGTGAGGATTTCTCCTTTCTCTTCAATTGGGGCATTTTTCTTTGTCTTCCCATTATTTTTGAGACCCTCCTTTCTGCTTACACTTCTTACATTGATCTGTCTTGATTTCCTGACTTTGTGGTGTGAACTTTTATGGTAGGAGACCACTCTTTTTGTTTTTTTCTTGATCTGCCTCTCATGATGTCAGCTGTTGATCCTATCTTACCTTAGGCTGTCTTATAGAGGCTTCCAGGAATCTAGTGTAGTGGCTCTCTCTTTCAGTTGTTAATCTAGTCATTCTGCTCTTAGCAGTCAGGCTTAGGCACCACAGGGTGGGCAGAGGTCCTCCTGTGTGCATGGTTATTGTGTCCTCTCATGCTGCTGCCACTCAGGGGAGTGGTCTGCCTGAGCGTAATGGCTGCTGCCCTATGGGGGAGGAGTCAGCACCAGGATCCCACCAGTACTCCCTCAGTTCTCTCCCCCAAGCCTCCATTTTCAGAATCTCCTCAAGCGTTGGACCACTCTACACCTTCTTTATCCACGGATCTACTATATGTGACTGGCACTCTGAAGTCAGCATTCGGATTTGCATACTAACACCAGGGCAGAGCCTCCTGGGGGCAGGGCTATTGTCTCCTCTCACACTGCTGCCACTCAGGGGACTGGTCTACCTGAGCAAGATGGCAGCTGCCAAATGGAGGATGAGTCAGCACTGGGACCCTGCAGGATACTTTCTCTATTTTCTCCCCAAAGCCTCCTTCCCTAGTCTCTCATCAAGTGGTTCCAGCCCATTCTGCCCCCACCTTTGCCAGAGCCCAGGGTAAGTGGCTGCTAATACAAATTTATGTGTTGGCCCTTTAAAAGACTTTTTGTGTCACTGCCCATCTCTGGCAGAGAACAACCCTGTTGCTTTTCACAGCTGGCTGTTATCTGAGTACTTTATGGGCTCTGGTTCTATAGGCTGGAGATCCCCTCCTTGGTTCAGATCCCACTCTTCTCAGGGGGGTCCAATTGGCCATTTCAATATCCCTCTGGTGCAGCCACCCGTGGTTGCCCAGCCCCCCTATTCCCCAGTCTCTACCGCACTCCTTATCAGTTAGGTTGTGCTAAAGCTGAATCTTCTGTCCATCCCTCATCATCATACCCTAAGATGTAAATGTTCCCCAGGGCAATGCCTCTTAGGGCTGCAGGCCTCCATTCAACTTTGTCAGATTTCAAAGGCAGGTGTGCTCATGGCAAACATACGAGGTCTGTCCAGAAAAAAATACAGCCATTGTTAATATAATAAGAATGGTTTGCATGATAGCCGCATAATCTGGCAGCCAATGATAGTGGGCTGGTATGCGCGTGCAGAAACAATGACAACTTTACTGTACCAGTCAGTGGGGACAGTCAGTAGACGCTACTGAGTGAGCATGTGTGCTGTGTGGCCATCACATTCAAAATGACTGAGCAAATAGAGCAACACATCTGCATCAAATTTTGCATTAAGCTTGAACATTCCTCAGCGAAACCATTCGGATGATTCAGAAGGCCACAGCTATGGGCAACTGGTGATTGGCAGCTTCTTCATGACAACATGCCCACTCATGCATCATGTCTCCTGTAGAGTTTTTTGGCAAAACATCAAATCACCCAGGGGACTCAGCCCCACTATAGCCCAGTTGGTGCCCTGTGACATCTGGCTTTTCCCAAAACTAAAGCCACTTTTGAAAGGGAAGAAATTTCAGGCATCTGATGAGATTCAGGAAAGTACAACAGGGCAGCTGATGGCAACTGGGAGAATATGTGAGGTCCCAAGGTACCTACTTTGAAGGGGACTAAGGCATCATTGTCCTATGTACAATGTCCCTTGTATCTTGTATCTTCTTCAATAAATGTCTCTATTTTTCATGGTACATGGCTGGATAATTTCTGGACAGACATCATATGGCTTCCCCATTTCAGGTATCTGGTTTAATTGTTATAAAGACAGTATTAATCTCCTGTTCTGATGCTCTCTTCTAGACACCAATGTAATGTTGGATTTCCCATTTTTGTTGCTTACCCATTTAATCATCCCTTTACCCCCAGCTACTAGTTCTTCTGTTTGTCACTGATGTTTACTAAACATTCCATTTCTTTGGAGGAAACACAAGGTTTGGCCACTGTGTGGGTCCAGGTTGCCAGCAGTGCTTGCCCACAACTCCCTCTCATTGATAGGGTAGGGTTACACAGGTCCAGGATAAGGGGGCTATTCCAACTACTAGGCAATGCAGCTGCATTCACTGACAATTCAGTTTATGTAGATGGGCTGTAGGCACAGCCTGCCCCATCAGGCCCTCAGGAATTCTGACATAAAGATTTAAAGGTACAATTATATTTTCTTGCTTAAGGATCATCCCTCCTTCTAGCACTTGTAGCTGTATTCCTGGTCCTGGGGACCACTGCATCAGGTAATAAAACAGTAAGTCAAAATAATGTGGAAAAGAATTGTATAGTCTTCCCAGCATCCTCTCTCCAGATCCCCTCAAAAGCAGAGAAATCTGTCCAATAAGAACCTTCCCTTGACCCCCCCCCTCCCCGCATGTTGAGTAGGAGCACACCTGTGAAATTGTGTAAGCCAGCCCTTCATGCTTTTATCTCTCCCCATTTGGGACAACAAATGTTTCAATTTGCCTCTTTCAATTTTCTGTCAAGCCACCACTCTGAGGACATATGTAACATTAATGTTCATTTAACTCTCGGCCTATTGTGGGAACTATGGGCTGTTCAAATTGGTACAGTATCTTCTGTTCCAGTATAGTATTTTATAGTATTTTAAGCATTTTCATCCACAATCAGGTATATGAAGCTACTTTAATGTGCCCCTTAAATTCTCATAGTGATTTCCTTGGGTTATGCCCCATAAGGACATTTCTTTAATGGTTCAGTTTGTCACAGCCCATCTACCAGTCCATTGACCTTTGTCCATGAGTCAATAAAAACCTAAACTAGCAGCTTTTATCACTCAATTCTTCCATCACTGCAAAGGAAACAGCATGCAATTCAGCACACTGAGCTGATTTGTTCTTAAGTTTGCCAAAGTTTTCCATCAGTCAACCAGAGTGCAGTAGCCTTACGAACAAGAAACTTTGTTTGTACCACTCTGGAAGTGCCATTAGTAAACGAAGTAGCTTTTTTTGGTCAATAGAGAATTGTTCACAGGAGCACCTACTGATGGCGCCTCAGGGCCTTCCAAAGTCCCAGCCCTGCAGGAAAAGAGTCCACCTACTCTTATGTTCCTCCCTGCATTCACCAAGTAGTGTGTTCCTGTGCAAACTGTTTGAATTTTATTAAGGAACTCTTTGAGGGCACTGCCTTATTTATCAGATTGTTTCTCTGACATCACCCAAGATACAATGGGTATTTCAGGTTTCAGGAATATTTTATGTCTTTCAGTCATAGAGGCAATTTCAATCAACACCCAACAGCAAACTAGTGATTGTATCCCAAATGGTATATACATCATATCTTACATCTGGAAATTTTCTTATCCAAAAATCTCAGCAGTTGCCACTGGGCGCAACTCAGGCTTTTGCCACAAGCTGTTCTGATCAGGTCCTCACATGGCAACAGAATTAGTACATTTCATTCTAATGTGTCACTTATTAAAGTGGCAATCCCATTTTGTCCATCGAATATGCCATACTGTTTCAAATTAACAACTAACATGGGCTCAGCAAATTGTTCAGGTCCTTCACAGAGACCCTGCTACTTCTCTCAGCCCTATATATTACCACCATCCATAAAGCTCTGCCACATATGTGTACATGCACACATACATGAGCAGGCACACACAGCTCTCACCAGTTCGGGGAATATGCCCCAGACACTAGCCTTTCTTCTCCCCTAATGGTGTGGCCTGACCCGCTCCCCTCCCTGATTCCCTCTGCAGCCAGATCTACTGCCACGGGGAGCTCCTGCACCAAGTTCAGATGGCCAAACTCTACCAGGATGACAAGCAGTTTGTGGACATGCCACTGTCCTCAGCTCCAGGTGAGGCCCTTCCTTCTCCTGAATCTTCCACCAACAATGGCAGGGACAAGGCCAGGCAGAGGGGCCTCTGATCGGGGTGGGGGGGGGGCGCTAGTGGGGTTCCACTGATCCCTCCCTGTGCCTGTTCCCCAGATCAAGTCCTGCAGCACTTCAACAAGCTAGTCAACACCCACAACAATAGCATCCCCCGACAGCAGCTGCAGATGTTCCTCCAAGAACACTTCCATGACATGGGGCAGGAGCTGCAGCCCTGGATCCCTGAAGACTGGAAAGAGAGGTATAACACTGAACAAGAAAAAGGAGAGAGCCCTTTGAATGGGGCTGCCTCCCTGAACCCTGTGGGGGTGGTGTCTTTCCAGCCCGAAGTTCCTAGAGAAGATCTCAGACTCCAAACTGCGAGCATGGGCAGGGCAGCTGCACCAACTCTGGAAGAAGCTAGGAAAGAAGGTAAAAGTGCACTGAGCCAGAGACAGGGATGTGCCAGCTTGGTACCCACCCTGCCCCTAGTGAAAAGAATGGGACTCACTTCCTAAGAGCACAACTCCCATTCCCCGGGTCCTTGATCAGAAGCTCTCTGGAAAGAAATTCTAGAGGGAGCAGGGGAACATCGACTTCTAATGCCCACCTCCTCCCAGAAAGCCCTCCCAGCCTCCCCCCAGGCAAACCTTGCCTGCTCTGCCATCTCCACTCTGACCAGTCCTGTCTCTAACACCGCTTGGTAACAAACTGTTCACTCTTCTGCTGGACTCTCTTCCCTGAGCTCCTCAGGCCATGCCTTTGCCCAGGAATGATCATTGCTACTGCTGATTGTGGCCCAGCCCTGTGATCAGCACAGTCCTCTGTTGGCACTTTCTCTCCTTTATCTGAGGCTCAGAGAAAGCAGTGATTTGCTCAAGGCTGCACAGCACCTGTCCTCCCACCCCGGCCTCAGGGTCCTGGTACCCACAGGCAGGATGAAGCTCCGGGCTCCTTCGCTAGTGTGGGCTGCTTTCTCAGACAGCCCCCATGGGAACCTGAGCCTCGTTCCACCGCTCCCCTCAAAACCTCTCTTCCACTGAAACCATACTCACTCATACAGAACTAGCAGGGAAGGAACAAAGAAATACCTGGCGCAGACACATAGCAAGCCCCACTCTGGTCCTACCTTGCTCTCCCTCGGCCATGTTCACCCACATCCACCTCATTGAGGAAAGGGTCCTGGGCCAGAGAATGGAGGGCCCTGAGTCTCTGGGCCTGGCTTGGCAGTGGTAGCAGAGACTCGGGGAGCTGGAGGAGATGGTCCCCCACCTGGGTCCTAGTAGTGGCCACTGCCTGGTGAGTACATGCTGGTGCCAGGCTGAGTGTTCGGGGCTCCTACACACCATGGAGCACCGCGGGGACTCAGGGGCCTGCACGTGGGGGTGAGCAGTCCGGGTTCCCCGCGCCAGTCCTTGACTGAGCCCACAGGGCTGAGCAGCATTGGAGCAGAGCCCAAGCCCAAGCCCAAGCCTCCTGGTTCCAAAGCCCACAGCTGCCAGGGCCTCTGCTGGGCCAGCCTCCTCTGGCCTCCAGGCTCTGGGAAAGGGGGGTGGAGTCTAGGCTCTCTGTGCCCTTTCTTCTGCCTTCAGGTGAAGCCAGAGGTCCTCCACCACCCGGAGCGGTTCTCACTGATCTACTCTCAACACCCCTTCATTGTGCCTGGCGGGCGCTTTCTGGAGTTCTACTACTGGTGAGCAGCCAGGAGCTGCGGGGGTGGGAGTGGTGGGGAGCCCGGAAGGAGCGAGTGCGGTGGGCTGCGCAGGGCAGGCCACCCTGATGGGGCCTGGGTATGCAGGGCAGAGGGCGGGGAGTGGGGTGCCTGGCTGGGATACCTGAGCTGTCGCTTTCCCCAGGGACTCCTACTGGGTGATGGAGGGCCTGCTCCTCTCTGAGATGCCCGAGACGGTGAAGGGCATGCTGCAGAACTTCCTGGACCTGGTGCAAATGTGAGAGGGGGGCCCGGCACCTCCAGGCTGGGTGGAGCAGAGGCAGGAGCCATGGGCTTGGAGCTGGGTTTGCCTTGGCTATGATGGTTGGGCATGGGCGTGCCAGCAGGTCTCCCTCTCGGCAGCTACGGACATGTCCCCAATGGGGCCCGCATGTACTACCTGCAGCGCAGCCAGCCCCCACTCCTGACCCTCATGATGGACCGCTATGTGACTTACACCAATGACAACGCTTTCCTACGGTGGGCACCCTCTCCTCGTGCTGCGCTGCAGGCTCCCCATACCCTGCAGGGTGGGAGTAGAAAGGTGTACCTGGGCTGAGGTGGTGCCCGGCTCTACTCCAGGGACAACATTGAGACCCTAGCCTTGGAGTTGGACTTCTGGACTAAGAACAGGAGCATCTCTGTGAGCGTGGGGGGAAAGAGCTACATTCTGAATCGCTATTACGTCCCTTACGGGGGACCCAGGTGAGGAACTGCGGGGGAAGTCTCTCAATATCTTGTCTGTTCTCTCCTGTTTGGTTGTCACCAGGCCCCTGGGCAGGAGGGCAAGTGACCTAGGCCCACCTCTTAGATGGCAATACTGCCAGCCATGAGCAATCAGGGCTGTGGGGCCCAAAGCTTGCTTAGTCAACAGGGCTCAGCCTCCACTTAGGCACAGAGGTCTCAGAGCCTCCCAGTGTCAGCTGTCCACTCTCCTCTTGCCAGACCAGAGTCTTACAGCAAAGATGCTGAGCTGGCAGACACCATGCCCGAAGGTGAGCAGCAGCCGCATGAGGGTGGCTGGGTGGGGCTGGGTGCCTGCTGTGGTGTCAGGCTCTGGTCTTCTGTGTGCTGCTGCCTCTCCTCACAGGGGACCGGGAGGCTCTATGGGCTGAGCTCAAGGCTGGAGCCGAGTCTGGCTGGGACTTCTCTTCACGCTGGCTCATTGGAGGCCCAAACCCTGACTTGCTCAGCAGCATCCGAACCAGCAAACTTGTGCCTGTTGACCTCAATGCCTTCCTATGCCAGGCAGAGGAACTAATGAGCAACTTCTACACAAGCCTGGGTGAGCAGACCAGCAGGAGGGGAAGAAGGGTGTGCTTGTCAGGCTTGAGTCCGTGCCTCAGCCTTGGCAACAGAGCTGGAAGTAGACCCTTGGGTGAAAGGCCGACCCCATTTAGCCAGCTCAATACCACCCCCCTAGTGTAGACAGGACAGGAGAACAAATGGAGCCCCCTCTTACCTTCACTTCCCTCCTTTTCTTACTGGGAAGGCCTTCTGGGGCCTATGAAAGGATCTTCTTATCCATATATCCAAACTCCCTTCATTTCTCTTCCAAAACAGCTGCCCTTTGAGTCCTCAGAGTTAGGGAATCCATACTCTCCTAAGGATCAATCTGGGGAACACGACAGTGCAGGTCCTGGGAGCCATAAAGGGTAATTTGCTCAGGGAATTCTGGGTCTTAGAAGCTTGAAATGTGGTGGGCTCTAAGTAGGCATGTCTCTTAGCCTTGGGGAGGAGGAGGTCAAAGTAATAGAACTCTGGAAGTTCATGGGGCCCAAGGGCAGAGGCCCTGGTTACTCCATCTAATCCAAGTCACCGCAGGGAATGACTCTCAAGCCACGAAGTACAGAAATTTGCGGGAACAGCGCTTGGCTGCCCTGAAGGCCATCCTTTGGGATGAGGAGAAAGGTGCCTGGTTTGACTATGACATTGAAAACCAAAAGAAGAACCAAGAGTTTTACCCATCCAACCTCGCTCCTCTGTGGGCGGGCTGCTTCTCTGACCCAGGCGTTGTGGACAAGGCTCTGAAATACCTGGAGGTGAGGGGGCCGCAGAGCACGTTGTTACACGGCGGGGCCGCACCGCAGGCTCTCTCCCTGATTCTGAGCAGTGACCTCTGGCAAGTGGCAGCCTCTCCCTCCTGTGTCTTAGCCTGACGGTCCCCCTGCAGCCACCAGGGGGCAGGTGTGAGCCAAGAAGGGAAAGCCCCGGGAAGGGACCTCTGCCTTTAGCAGAGCCCGGACTCCTGGCTCCCTGCCCAGCCCCCACGCACAGTCATAGTAATGTCTGGAACATTGCAGGACAGCCAGATGCTGACCTATCAATACGGGATCCCAACATCTCTCCGGAAGACGGGTCAGCAGTGGGACTTCCCCAATGCCTGGGCCCCGCTACAGGACCTGGTCATCAGAGGTAGGGGGCAAGGATGGGGCACATCCCAAGACCTTATGCCTGGATGTAGACGGTCGGCCTCCCTAGCACTGGGGAGCTGTGAACAAAGGATGTGGGGGTCTTCCTCTGACTCCTCTGCTCTCTCAGCCTCCCGCTGAGCCAACACTTATGTCCACCGTCACCTGTCATGGGATTCAGCCCTCCTCTCCTTCCAAAACCGGGCACTGGATTAGAGCAGGTTCGCCTGTGGTTCCAGGAAGGAGGTGGCAGGGCCTGGGCCTCTTTCCCTCCTTGAGAAGAGCTAAGCTCAGGCCTCTGCTCCCGCTGGGACGCGGATTCTGGAGATTCAGAGTCCTGCCTCGGGGCGGGGTCTAGGTCTGGCCAAGTCGCCTTCACCCCGGACCCAGGAAGTAGCTTTCCAGTTGGCGCAGAATTGGATCCGAACCAACTTTGATGTCTACTCCCAAAAGTCAGCCATGTACGAGAAGGTGAGCTAGCCCTGAGCCCAGCCCCACCAGTCCTCCTGCCCGTGGTGAGACGGGGAATTGTCAGGCTTTGCAAAGCCCGGGCCCTGGGACAGTGGCGGCACCCACTGGCTACTCCTGTGCACTGCAGGAGTGAGCACCACAGACCACTGCAGCTTCTCCCACAGGGCTCCCTCCCATTCCCTGCTCCCCTTAGAGGGCTGGGTCAGGGGGCTGGGAGTAGTACTGACCCTAGAGCTTGCCCTCTCGTCCACAGTACGACATCAGCAACGGTGGACAACCCGGTGGTGGAGGGGAGTATGAAGTTCAGGTGAGTGGGCCAACATCCTACAGGGATTTATGGGGCTCTGCTGTCCCCACAAACTGACCGTGACCTTCCCCCCTCTAGGCCTCAGTTTCCTCCCATGTATGTGTGTCCACAGGGAGGAGCCTGACCGGTACTCCTCCGGACCCCTGGGGTTAGGCAGGGCCAGAGCCTCTGGGTAAAGATCCCACCCACAGCTAAAAGCATTTGGGGCCTTCAGAGGTCTTGCCCCACTGGCCATGCCTCTCTCCAGGAGGGCTTTGGCTGGACCAATGGAGTGGTCCTGATGCTCCTGGACCGCTATGGTGACCGGCTGAGCTCAGGGACCCAGACAGCTTTCCTGGAGCTCCACTGCCTCGCAGCTGCCCTCCTGCTTAGCCTCCGGCCACAGTGATGGGCCTCACTGCCCGCTCTGCCTTCAGTTCCTCCTCCGGCTCCAGCTCCTCATTAAGAGCCTCATTAAACCTGTGCATGAGTCCCTACCTTCTCCTGCCTCTTCATTCTCCATCCCTGGAGACCTGCCGGTCCTCGGTCATAGTGGATGGGGCCGGGGTAGGAACCTGGAGGTCATGGGTTAGGCCCTGGGTCCCTCCTGGAACATTTAATGAAGTTGAAATTCTACTTCGTGGGGAGGACCTAACCCTCCGACCCCATGTCCCCCAGCCCAGTGCCCCACACAACTTGGCCTCCCAGAAACATACTCCAAATGCTTTATTGTTCTGCTGAGACGCTTACAGATATTGAAAACCACCCCGCCTGGACCCAGCAAGCACGGCCCAGTGCTGGAGAAGGGGACAGAGAGGTGGGCTTAGTGTTAAGGCGCAAAGGACTGAGGCCTAGTCCTCTGCTCTCCATTTTCATCACCCTTCTGAGGCTGAAGGAGGGTTGCTGGGCTTCAAGGTGTTCCTTCTCTGCTGCTCCTCTCCTGCTCAGGTTTTCTCATGGAGCAGCCCTCTGTCTCTGTCAGAAATTCAGCCCTTCTGGTTTTCTCAATCATCCACATCCCTCCTCTGCATCAGATACCCTGGCTTCATCCCTTCTGGCTCTAACCAAGGCACGAGTGGGAGGGAGAGAGCTGGCCCAGGGTGGCCAGCAGTCTGTGCATCAGAGCCTAGAGACACAGGCTGGGGGCAGGGAGGTGTTTGGTTCCTTCCCCCCAGCATGAGATGCCCAAGGGCCTGGACTGGGGAGATGAGGGCAGGTACCCTCAGATGGGCCCACAGCTTAGGCGGTGGGCTGAGCCGCTGAGCCATGGAGCCAAGACAATTAGTATGTAACCATGGCAATAAAGCAGTTACTATGGTGACCATGGCAATGGGTCTGCAAAAAGGGAATGGGACTGAAACCGCGAGGACAAAACTTGAAATCTCTGGCCCTTGAGCGAAGTAATAAAAAAATATGAACGCGAGAAAACAAAGGGGTAAAAGCAGGGTTTGAGAGGTACACTGCCTGAGCTGTTTCTCCACTCTGGATGTGGTGCTGCTCAGCCCCTAAAGCCCCTGCAAAGGGGGCTGAGGCAAGAGGGGATCTTTGGCAGACTCTGGTACCATGACTGTTCTTTACAAAAGAGAACACATGCTGGGGAGCACAAGACCCTGAAGGGTTATTGCAAGTGCTGGGCTCCCTGGAGGCTGTAAAGCCCCCTCCCCACTTTTGATCTCCTGATTGGTTCTTTAAGAGGCCCAAGCTCGGAACCTCAAAGAACGAAGAATGAGCTCCCTGCACAACATTGCAAAGTCTTCTTATACAAAAGCACCAGTTAAGCTCTACTCTCTCAGGGCCTCTGGAAGTACCCAATGAGGCCTGGGGCCCAGGGTGTGACTGTCTCCAGGGACAAGCAGAGCAGCAGGTGGTCAGGCATGAGTCCTGGGGCCTGCCAGAGGGTCCAAGAGGCCCACAACAGTCAGTTCATGAACTGAGTGTAGCCCTCAGCCCCAGTGACAATGACATCCATCCAGATGCGCATGGCCTCCGCAGATGGGGCCACCATGTAGTACAGCCGGTCATGGGTCTTCACACAGAAGGTCAGGGCTGGGTTTGGGCTCTGCGGAGGAAAACAGGAGAGTCTAAAATGGGGCTCACCCCTGACGTCCAGAAGCATTCTCCTAACCAGCCCCCTGGTCTGTCCTTCCCCTTCTCTGTGTCCAAGACAATCTGGAGCTTGGGGCTGAGTCCTACACAGGCCAGAGACCTTGTCACCACCGGTCAAGTGGGCCCAGGCTGAGATATTCCCCTCCTTACACCTGGCAATCCTTGGATTCTGGCAGGGTCACATTATGCCAGGTGGGGGCACTGTACCTTGGCACCCTCAGCACAAAAGAATGTCAAAAGAAATCAGACACAAAGGGCTGTTCCAGTGAAGACCAGAGTTCTCCTCTCTGCAAAAGAGGGGCAGATGGAAAAAGCTACAAATGGGGTGCTGGGCCCTAAGACCCCAGAGATCAAGAAGAGGTGGGCATCTGAGGCTTGGCAGGAGGGAGGCTGACTTATACTGCACTGAGGCAGATGACCAGCCTCAAACATCTCCTGTTTATCAATCCTTTCTATCAAATCTACTCCAAGGCTCCCTTTTAGCCATCCCCTCTGCATTGCCCATCCCCATCTGGGAGACAATATGCTGTCATCTTAGGAGAGGGAGGCAAGCCCGCCAAGTTCAAGCCCACAGGGGCATCCTGCTCTCTGCAATCCACCTTCACTCATCCCTCAAGCCTGGAGACAGGAGTGGGGTTTAGGGAAGAATAAAGGGTCAGAGGCGAGTGGGGTATGATGGTGTTAATATGCGGTAGTTCTGGTTACTGTTTATAGGGAGGGATATCTCTGTCGCCCCAATGAAGCTGGAAAACCTCTTCTGGGGAGGGAAGAAGAGAAAGTTTACGAAGAGAGCAAAGTATGGATCTGTGACTCTGAAGAGGGCAGTCTGGAGGCCTTTGCCATAGAGCCCACCCATTCCCCATGGCGGTCCCTTCCGCCCCTTCACCTTGGCTGCGCTGCGCAGGTGGTCGTAGTATACCTCTTCAATGGCCTGGAAATAGATGACCCCCTTCAATTTTGTCTCATGCTTGTCTGCAAAGGAAATAAGGGCCAGATTGAGGAGGCCTGTCATACTTCAGGTCAGGATGAACTGCCATGGAGCTTCTCTACCTGGGAAATGTGGTGATTCCCAGGGCTCCCAAACAGAACCAACAACAGTACTCAGGCTCATGCAGAATTACAGAGAATGCAGATTAGAATTCCACTGAGATGCCACTTCTCACCCATCAGATTGTCAAAAACATACAAAAGATAAACAGCACACTTTTGTCAAGTTTGTAAGAAAAGGCTGTCTAATAAATGGCAGGTTAGGAGTATGTAAACTGGCATAGATGATTTGCCCATACATACCAAAATTAGAAAGCTGTCTGTCCTTTAAGCCAATGATTACACTTAGGAAAATTTATCTTACACATGTCCAAAATAGCAAACTTACAAGATCATTTACAGCAGCAGTATTTGTAGTCACCAAAGATTGGAAATGACCCAAGTATCCACCAAGTGGAGACTGGTTGATAAATTATAATGTTGGGCTACTAGACAGTTGTTATACAGAATGTACAAATATCTGATATATAGATTCAGAAATAAATCTATAAAATATATCCAGATATAAATATCTAGACATAGATATATTTGATGTAAAAAATTAGCAGGAAAACAAGGAATGTATTACATGCTACCTTTTGTGTAAGAAAATGGGTAGGAATACATATTTGCATTTGTTTATATTCCCCTAAAGAAACACTAGAAGGATACGCAAGAGCAATAGAAGTAGTTACCTATAGTGAGTGGGGGCATTATTCTAAATTTAAACCTTTTTATATATTTTGATTTTCAACTATATGAATGCCTTCACCTATTCAACACATACTTTTTTAAAAAGAAGGAAGTATTTAGCATATGAAGGCAGGAGTGGCAGGAAGGAGGTGGGCAAACTACCAGCAGAGATGACTTCTAGTCGGGAGGGACAGGGCACTGTCAAAGGAAAGCACAGGGCCTGGTCCATCATGTCTAGTGGCAAACTCTGCCCAGGGACTACAACTGCCATCCTGGACAGCGAGCCTGAGGCATAGAGGGAAGACATACAATCACTAAGCTCAGATCATTGGTAGCTGGCAGTACGCACCTTCCTCCATCCCATGTGTCATTTCAGGCTCCAGTCATTGACCCTGGACCATTGCTATAGCCTCCTAATATACCCCTGGACCATCCTCTGCCCCTTTAACTCATCTTCCCTAATGCTGAGTGGGGTGAGCTTCCTAAAGCAAATCTAATCCTGCTGCCTCGGCTCACAAGCTTCTCTGCTGGTTCCCTCACTGGGAACCTGCTGCCTCCTTGGTTTGGCCAAGGCTATTTACAGGCTGGTGCCAACACGTTCCTCTGGCCTTGTCTCACACCCCTTCCCTGCACCAAGCCCAAGTTCTATCTGGCCAGGCTGAGGTTCTCACCTTCCCTTAACAGTGTGCTCTGCATACTTTGAAACGGTCTCCAGCCCACTCCCTTGGCAAACACCTAAGTAATCCTGAAGATCCATTGCAAATGTCACCACTCTGGTGTACAGCTGTGCTCCCTGTGATCCCACAGCACCCACACTCCTGTACAGAACTCAGGCTGAGTCTGAACCTTCCTGGCAATTCATAGATCTACTTCCTCCAATACCAGCAACTACGTGCCTAGCACACAGTAGGTGATCAATGAGTTGAATGAATGAGTCCCAGGCACTGGGATGCAGGGAAAAGTCAGAGACCCTTCTCTTAGGCACTTACAATCTAGGGGGGAAGAATGCATTTACCAACTGCGTGACTCAGGTGTCCAAGAGAGCAGCTACATGTCATGGGTGGTTATGAGTATTAAGTGAGCAAACACATTCAAAGTGTGCAGCAGAATGTCTGGCACATAACACTCAGCATCTGTCATTACATCATTATGCCCTAGACTGATGTCACATGGCAGACAGAGCCTGTATAATGCAGCAATTATATAACAAAAGACAGGAACCAGTCTCAGTAAGGTGGGGCCAGGAAAGGCTTCATGGAGGTAATATCTGATCTGAGCTCTATAGAAGGGAAGGGGGGATTCCATTAAGTAGGTAGGAGGAGAGTCCCGGCAAAGTCAGGGAGAAGGGCAGGTTCAAGGTAGAAGCAGGCAAGACACAGTAATCCAGGGCTCTGATCCTATCACAGGCTCAATCTCCATCCAATATTTCCTCTTCAAGACAAGGACCCACCCCACCCTGGCCCCTGCCGTTCTCTCCATTCCGTTGCTTCACTGGAAATAACAGCTCAGTCCTGCCTCTGCTTCCTAACCACCCACCTCTCCATGATCTTGTGCAATTTGGCTCCCACGCCCGTACAGAGCAGAAGCCTTTCTCTTATCAGGCTTCAATGCCTGAATTGGATGGCCTTTGGATCCAGATTATTCTTCTTACAACATCCATCACCACCAGAGATGCCCCTGCTTGCAAATGTCCGCTCCTTTGGCTGGCTTCCTTCCATTACCACCCCCATCTAAACTTAGTCTCCTTTTGTTTCATAAAAGTAAGGAAGGTCACATATGCTGAGTGCCAGCCCAGCCACTGGCATGTGGATTCCTGCCTCCTACCCCTTCTACCTTTGCTGGTCCCTCTTCTTCCTCCTTCCCCACAATGCTGCAGCCCTATCTCTGACTCTTCTAATTGCCCAGGCTCAATCTTAACTCTGCCTCTTAGCAGTGTGAGACCTTGGGCAATTTACTTAACCTCTCTGCTCTTTTTAATAAAAATTATACTTTATTCATTATGCTATTACAGTTGTCCCTATTTCCCCCCTTTGCCCTCCTCAACCCAGCACCCCATTCTCCCTCAGGCAATTGTTCATGTACACGGGTCATGCATATTAGTTGTCTGGCTACTCAATTTCCTATACTGTACTTTATATCTCCATGGATATTCTGTACCTAACTACTTAAACTTCTTAATCCCCTCACCTCCTCACCCATTCTGCCATACCCCATCCCATCTGGCAATGCTCAAAACACTCTCCATATCCATGATTCTGTCTCTGTTCTTCTTGTTTTCTTAGTTTCTTTTTTAGATTCAATTGATGATAGATATGTGTTTATTGCCATTTTATTGTTCATAGTTTTTATCTTTTTTCTTAAATAAGTCCCATTTAACACTTCATATAATGGTTTGGTGATGATGAATTCCTTTAGTTTTTTTCTTATCTGGGAAGCACTTATTCTGACCTTTGATTCTAAATGATAGCTTTGCTGGGTAGAGTAATCTTGGCTGTAGGTCCCTGCCAGTCCCTTCTAGCCTGCAAAGTTTCTTCTGAGAAATCAGCTCACAGGCTTATGGGAACTCCTCTGTAGGTAAGTAACTGCTTTATTGCTGCTTTTAAGATTCTCTATTGGTCTTTAACCTTTGGCATTTTAATAATGATGTGTCCTGGAGTGGGTTTCTTTGCATCAATCTTGTTTGGGACTCTCTGTGCTTCCTGGACTTGCATGTCTATTTCCTTCACCAAATTAAGAAAATTTCCTTTCAATATTTTTTCAAATAGATTTCCATTATCTTGCTCTTTCTCTTCTCCTTCTAGCACCCCTATGATGCAAATGTTGGTACACTTGAAATTGTCCCAGAAGTTGCTTATGCTACCCCCATTTTTTTGGATTCTTTTTTCTTCTTGCTGTTCTGATTGGTTGTTTTTTGCTTTCTTATGTTCCAAATCATTGATTTGATTCTCGGCTTTATCCACTCTACTTGTTGTTTCCCTGTGACTTGTTCTTTATTTCAATTAGTGTATCCTTCATTTCTTACTGGATCTTTTTTATGCTGTTGAGGTCCTCACTAAAGTTCTTTGAGCATCCTTATAACCAGTGTTTTGAACTCTGCATCTGACAGATTGCTTATCTCCATTTCATTTAGCTCTTTTCCTTGAGTTTTGATCTATTCTTTCATTTGGGCTACATTTCTTTATCTTCTCATTTTGGCAGCCTCCCAGTTTCTGCACTTTAGAAAGAGGGGCTATGACTCCCTGTCTTGGTAGCATGGCCTAATGTAGTATTCAGAACCATCAGAAATCAAGTTGAATGGAAGTCTACAACTATGGAATTAAAAAAAAAAAATATCCATCCATGGAATCCATGGGATGAATTATCCCATGGGCTAATGTAGCATGGCCCTGTAGAGTCCAGTGGCACGCCTCCCCTATCACCCAAGCTGGTTACTCAAGATGTGCCTTTCATGTGGGCTGAGTACACCCTCCTCTTGTAGTTGAGCCTTGATTACTGTTGGAAGGTCAATGGGAGGGATTTACCCAGGCCAGTCTGCTGCAAGAGCTGGCTATGACCACTGACCACCAACTTCTGCCCTCCATGGAAGATCAGCGGTGCAGGGGCAGGGTGGTGGTGCTCCGACATGGTCTGTAGATGTCCATTGGATGCACGGGCTCTGGGGATCCTGGGTGGTGCAGGCTTGGGCCAGTCCCAACCTGTGTTCTGCCCCGGGGCCACCCTGCATGAGTACTATGAAGTAATCTGAGATGGCTGCTACTTGTGCTGGGTTTAGAGATTCCCAGGCAAAGCATAGCCGTGAATCTAGGCTGGCTGCAGTTAGTGCCAGGCCTGGGACCCCTCAGCAAGAGGTGCAGGGGCTGGGGGCTGAAGCCAGCTGTTGCTTGTTTGAGAGAATTTAGGATGATGTGAAGCATGAACCAAAACCAGCCATTCATATAGAAAAACAGCTTGGGTGGGCCTGTAAATTGGGTGGGACATAGTCTCAGGGGATCTCCAGGACATCACAAACAGTTTTAGCTAGGTTGATGGAGCCTCAAATATGGCACCCACCTGCCAGCTCTGCGGCTCTTTTGGGAGAGGGCTCATAAAAGGGACTATGGCCTCTGCCCCGCTTTTTGTCTGACAGAAGCTGTCCCCTAGCTCTCGCCTTGATGCCAGACACTTCAGCTCCTCCCTATATGCCCCTGGTGCCTTTCAAACTGCTATCCCAGTGTTGAAGTTCAGATGAGTGATTCTAAGTCCATGTATGGGTTCTTTAAGGGGAACTGATTGGGAACAGAAGCTTCTTCCACCAACTCAATCCCCACTGGTGGCTGCAGCCAGAAGTTTTGGGGACTTATCTTCCTGGCATTGGAACCTTGGTCCGGGGGGCCTGGTGTGGGGCTGGGACTCCTTGCTCCTGAGATATCCCTTCCAAATTTTTACTCACCACACATCGGTGTGCGACCAACCCGTTCTGCATCTCCTCCCCTCCTACCAGTCTGGATGGATATTTTTTTTTTAATTCCATAGTTGTAGACTTCCATTCAACTTGATTTCTGATGGTTCTGAGTGATAGTTGTTCTATATTTTGGTTGGAATTTTGAGGTGGTCGTGCGAGAAGACAAGCCACGTTTACCTATGCCACCAACTTGACCAGAAGTCTCTAAGTTTCATTTTCCCTATTTGTGAATTAAGTATGAAAACAGTGCTTCCTCCAAAGATTATTGTGAAGATTAAATGAAATGATGCACATACAGTGCTCAGCACAGCATCTGATTCATATAAGTGGTCAATAATGATGATCCGCTATTTTATCATTATCACTATTATTATTCCAGCAGATTCAACTTTCACTCTGCCTCTCAATCTGCCTCTCAATCCTGACCTTTATCCTAGGTCTAGATGTCCTCAGGGGGCTTCAACCTCAACATGCCTAAAATGGAGCTCTTTTCCCTGCTCCTGTTCCTCTCAGTCCCAACAAAGTCCGTTCCCAGCCCAAGTATAAACATGGGGACACTTGTACCTCTGCTTCTCCTGCCTCCTTACACTGAGGGCCCTTGTGGTCATAGAAGGCTTCTTGGAGGGGGTAGCACATGGTTGGGGACCAGGGAGGGGAAACAGGGTACTCCAGGCCTGGGCCTCCCCAGCACCAAACACTCAGCCCTTTCCTTTCAGGCTCCTAGCCAGACTGTTCTTCTTGGTTTTGTGGTTGGGTGGGGCTGGGTGACTGGCTGAACAAACCCAGCTGTGGCATTTCATATCAATGCAAGGCCCAATTAGGCTTCTCTTTACCCTTTGCCATGGCAGCCAGCAATGTTCCAGAAAGGCATGCTCTACAGCAAAGAGAACATTGCTGCAGAGCAGATCCCCCACCATCCACAAAATAGACAACATGCATCAGGAGGAAGAAGGGAAACTGTGGTTTTGAGCCACAGGGATCTTAGGACTGGCTGGTTCCACAGCATACCCCAGCCTCTCCTGACTAGACTGTGATAGAGCACCCTACGTTCTAAGTCCAGAGAGAATTCTAGGCATGGGAAACTAAGCTAGGTGAGCAAGGAGAGCAAGATGGGACAGTGAACCTATCCCCAAGGCTGTCCTGAGCACTCCTTGGCACTGCTCAACTGCTTGTCTTGGAGTCTTTAAGGGAACTTGCCCAGGGGGGAATCCACAGGATTCCGTGCAACCACAGCATCTGGGCATCCCTACAGCCTACCCATCATATTTTAACTCTCTGTTCATGTTCATCATCTGCCTCCCTGACAATGATTTCCAAGGGAGAGTGCTGCAGCCATCTTGCTTATCACCAGAACCTAGAGCTGTGCCTTAAACTAATTAGATGCTTAGTAATTGCTGAGTAAATCAATGGATGAACAAATAAATGGAGGTGCAACAGGTACACTCTGTACATTTTCTGGAGGATGGGGGAAAGGACAAGACCAGCCAAGCCTTTGACCCCCACTTGGAAGCTTGGCATCCTTCCAGAATACCAGTTGTCCTGGATGACAGAGCCCAGGGGTCTCATTCTAGGGAAGTTGTGTGGGAACTTACCCACATAATAGGAAAGGGTACGCTTGAGCCGATCGAAGACAAACCAGCGCTTCTTCCATGATTTAATCTTGCCGCCCATCTTAACCAAGTAGCCACGGCACACCTGGTGGGAGGCAAAAGTAAGGAAGGATCCAAAAGCATAGCCCCTAAACCTTTCCTTCCTGGGAAGCAACATAAGTGCCATTACTTGTGCCTATATTCTTTGGCGGGGCAGGTGGGGGGGGTTGTCCCTAACATCTCTCCAAGCCAATAACAGGACCTGGGACAGAGACTTCTGGTGTTAGGTCAGGAACAGAGGCCACTATTCTGAGGAGTCAGGAGGGGCCTCTAACCATGGGGGCCTCTTCCCAGCACCCCAGTGCCATGTATACCAGTACCTTGCTGCTGAGTACCACATGCAGGCAGGTATCCACACCGTGGCCTGAGGACTCGATGTGGGTCTTCAAATCAAAGTCTTCCTTCCGGACTGGGAGGTAGCGCGTCAAGGGTCGTGCCTGGGAACAGAGGCCAGGGTGAGCAGAGTCTCCTCTCTTCCCCATCATTCCCTTGTCCAGGCCCCTAGGCTTCAGTCCTCACCCCTGCCCTTACCCCCTCCCCACCCCCATGCTGCCACTCTGGTTTCACAGGTCTTGTAGCAAAAGCAGAGACCTAGCATGTCTGTGCTGGGCAGACCAGGTTTAGGCAAGCTCCTAGGTGACTCTATGCCTAAGTTTCCCCATCTATGACCAAGACACAGCCATACTTGTCTTGTCCCTGCCCCTCTTCTCCCTCCTGGGCTGAATGGAATAGAGCCAGAAGCCACATATGAACAGGCTCTGGGAAGAAAAGCCCAATAGGAATCTGGCCTCTGACTTCCTGGGGCCCTTGCTTGGGTCATATCCCTTCTCTGGACCTCAGTTTCCTTACATATAAAACAAGGGCTTTGAACTATATAATCACTAAGGTCTGTTCCACCTCAAAAATTCTAATACTACAAAATGCACAACTTGCAGCAGGCACCCCCAAAATGGGCTGACTCTACCCACTTCCCACAGCACACTGGTGGTTCCTGCAGCAATACCTCAGCTCCATGAGAGGGGGCTAGAGAATCCCAAAGTAGCCACAGATAGAAAGGAGGCAGGAATCAGGTATTTGACAAAGATTCCAAGCACAGAGGTAAAACTCAGTTTCTGATTATTTTTCTTAATTCTCAAACCCAATCCAGGCAGCCTACCACTAAGAATTTATGTTGTTGCATCACAGGAAGTTGGGGACCTGTGATTGCTGGTGACTACTAGGAATGGATACCAAGGGACCCTCACCCCGGGGAGGCCTATGAAAACCCAATATAAGGGACAGCCTCTCTTTATCTCTCAGGCTTTCACATGGGCTAGGATCTGGGACCAGAGACATGGGCACATTTCCCTACCCAACCTAAGTTCTCCTCCTACCTTTAAATGTTCTGCTCAAGTCTTCTATGCAAGGAAAAAACCCAGAGTTGTTTTTTGTACAGGGATGGATTCTTGTCCCAAGGAGAAACTAGTATAATTTTCTCTTGGGGATATAACCAACAGTCATAGCCAGGTCATCTGCTGGTGGTGGGGACTGGTGCTAAAAGGTGTGGTGGAGTGAGGGCCAGGACTGTCATGAAGCCCCAGGTACAGGAGGTCATCAGGAAAGCAAAGGGAGGCACAGCAGGGACTCATGAAGCAGAGATGAGGCCCTTGAGAGCGGCCAAGGGGAGCCACCCTGATATTTGACTCTCAGCTCCCGTCTCTGAGAGGCCCATCCAGACCATCTTATCTGACTCCAGATGTTAGCAAGGTAGCCTGCCATGTCCCCACAACCCCACCCACTCACAACACACACACACACACACACACACACACACACACACACAGCGGCTTGAACGAGCCCCTGTTCTTTGGGACTGAGTGAGTCCCAGATAGGATTCTGCTTGTGCTGAGCCAACAGCAATCGTGTTTGGAGTAGAGCAGTTTTTACAGCCCAGCAGAGGTACCCTAGAATGTCTCTACTCCTCCATAGCCTCACCCTCAAGCCAGTACCCACCATACCCCACTGCCCACTCACCTGAGAAAACTGTTTCTCCCGCATCTTGACCTCCTTCTCCACCAGCTGCTGCCTCCTGGTGCTCTCACTCTGCAGCCTCCATTCCACCTGCTCCCGCCGCCTCCGCTCCTCCTCCAGGGCTTGCCGCCGTAGTTCCATCTCCTGCTTCTTCCACCAGAGCCAGGGGTCAGTGCCCACAGCTGCCCTCTTCCTCCATCCCCAGCTTCCCCCTTCTCAGAAGAGGCAGAGCCACAGGAAGCACCCTCCTCAGAGGGCGGCCTGGTATTCAGAGGTATCCTCAAAACCCACCCTCGCTCTGGCTGGTGTGGCTCAGTTGGTTGGAGCATTGTCAAGGAAACTGGGAGCTCGTGGGTCTGACTGCTGGTCAGGGCACATGCTTGAGTTGCAGGTTCAGTCATGGGAGAGGTAACTGATTGATGTTTCTCCCCCACCCTCTCTCTCCATTCCTTCCCCTCTAAGCATGTCCTCAGGTAAGCATTTAAAGAAAAACCCTCTCCAAGGACCTTGCCGGTAAGTGTTAATGCTTTAAAGTCAGACTGCCCTGGCTTCACATCCTGGCTCAGCCACCAGTGGGAACTGTGGAACCCTGATAAAATCATTTAAATTCCCTAAGCCTCAGCTGCCTCATCTGTAAAATGGGGCCAAGGGTGCATACACCTAAGATCATAATAAAAATTAAATAAGATCTCTATGCCCATCACTAACGCTAGCAGGAAGGAAGCACTCAATAAATAAATGGGGCTCTTGTAATTTTTATCTGAATTCCTAAAACATTGATTATCTAAACAACTTTTTTTGAAGTGAATATATTCAATGGTCCTTCCCTAATCACTAAGGCCTTTTGAAACTCCAAATTAGAAACACTTGCATTTAAACTACAAATTTTATGGGGAAAAAATGAATTTATGAAGCCATTATTAAAAGATCTTAAAAGTCATTAAAACAAATCATTAAATACAGAGCATTTCAGTGATGTTTTATGTGTCTTAATCAATGATAATGACCTATATATCATTAACTCCCATTTGGCATGTATTCCCAGCTTAAAACTTAGCAAAATCTCCTTCTTCTCCGTTTGCCAAGAGATGCTTATAAATTTGCCCTCCTCTAATGTGACTACAACTAAAAGGTTTCTTTCCTGGTTTTCAGAGTTGCTGACTCCTCCTCTCCAGGTTCTACTCTCTCATCTCAAGAGATGCAGAATGCCCAGATGGTAGAGAAAGAACAGCTTCCACAGATCCCTTATCTAACTTCCTCCCAAGGCCTGGGTTTCCTCAGCCTGGTTGTGTCCAGGATAAACTACTGGTCCCTCTTTGTTGTGTCCCAGCTACAGGCCAACTTGAAGGAGACATGACTTCCCTCAGCTCCCACTTGCTCCCCAAGACCCCCCCAAGCCAGCACTTCTGCTCTGGCTTGGACATCTGCCTTCTCTTCTGTCCCTATTCTTCAGTCCTCAATTGCTGCTTTTCCTAACCATCCTTAAGAGGAATGACCAGCCACTCAGGTAGACAGGAATCAAAATTCCCATGGTGCCCAAAGTGTCCACAGGAGTAAACACACAAAGGTCAAAGGTTCCCACACAGGAAATACATGATTGGACAACAGTTACTGCGCTGCCTCTTTTCCTACAAGGTGTGAAACACGAATCTCACCAGCCTCCATACCCCCACTCTCTTCCTCAAGGGAATGTCGCAAGGATCATGTGGATGAAGTGGCTTGGGATAAAGCACAGGCCCTTGGCAGGTGGAGGGAAGCACTGGGGCCCCTCTGCCTCTGCCTCTGAAGCCCAGATCTGCCTTACCTTCGACTCCATGAGCCGGCTCTTCTCTGCGTGAGCTTCTTTCAGCATCTTCTCCATCTCCTCGATCTTGCTGACATCCAGGCCACTTGTACCGGGGAAGGAAAAAAAAGAGTGGGTGTATCAAGGAGCCGAGAAGGCACCTGGCAGAGGCAGTAGGTCCAGTGTGGGGGAGTGCAGAGTTAACACCTCAGGCGGGATGGGATGGGGGTCAGGTACCTGGACACATTGTCAGGGGAACAGGCTGAGTTGCCTCCCGTGGAGATGCTGGTCTCCATGCTGTCGGAGCTCTCCAGGCTCAGTGTGTCGTAGGCATGTTCACCCTCCTCCCCACGCTCCCGCCCAGCCGGCAAGTGGTGCAGGATGGAGTGGTGCATGAGTGGGGGGAAGCCCGAAGGGCCTGCCAAGAAGGGGGATGCCCCATGCAGGGCATCCCACTGGCACTGAGCCTCAGCTGCTGCTTTCTGCTTCAGCTCAGCCAGTCTCCGCCGCTGCTCCTCAATTACCTGCTGTCCTAAAGGAGGGACAGGTAGGAGTCACAGGGGGCAACGCAGTTGGGTGGGGAGCACACTGGAAGCATCACAGACAGAGGGAAGAAGCGAGCAGGGAGAGGCTAACACAGGGCACCCACAACAGCCCCATCAGCTTCCCTAAAGCCCCCACAGCACCAGGGTCAGCTGCCCTGCCATACAGCCACAGCTGCGCAGTCTGGCTTCAGCTCCCCTTCTGCATCCTGAGCCCACACAAGGCACTGATCCTGCCCAGGTGGTGCCCTAGCAGCATGATGGCCAGGGGGCTCCAGCTCACAACAAAGGCCTGAATAAGTGGGGACACATGCATCCACCCTGCCTGCTGGGGAAGGAAGAAGGAAGAGGTGGCGGGAGCCCCATGAACACCCAGGGTGTCAATGCAAACCCAGCAGCAATGCAGAAGCAAGAGCAATGGCAACAGGGAAGAATGAAGGGGAAATAGGTGGAGCACAGACAGCTGAGGCAGCAGAGAGCTCAGTTCGAGGGGAGAGGCAGCCAGACACCCCAACCCAGCTCAGCCTGGGAGCCTGCCTACAGGCAGTGGGGGCCTGGACAGAATATATCATGCAGATGCCTGGGCAGAGGCTGCCTGGCCAAAGCAATGTCCTCATTGACCAACGCTCTACCTGCTGGGTCGTCGGTTGGGAGGGGCTCGGCAGGAAGCAACTCGACTGGTGAGGGGGACCCCAGGCAGAGGGCAGAGTAGAGAGACACAGAGGGGATGAGAGGAGAGAGAGGCACAGACATGGGCTTTCAAAACAACCAAAATACACTCAAGCAACAAGGACTTCTGGGTCTCCAGAGCCAGTATCTTAGGGAACCATTTCTGAAGGTCAAGTCCATCCCCCTGCCTCCAGACAGGGCAACCCATATGCCCACTCAGGTGAAAAATCATTTCTCTTATTTGCTGAGCTCTCTAGGAAAGCTCTCACAGCCTTCTGGCCCCAAAACCCTATAGCCCTCTACCCTTTGATACAGATTCAGGAAGCTCTCCTTTAGGCATACAATGTAAATCCCTTCTACTCTTGCCTAGATCCCAATTAAAGAAAAACATGCTGTGAAGGGTGTGGGCATGAATGAGATGGGGGTGGGGGGCAGGGGGATGGGCGGGCGGTGAGGCAGATATCCAGGGCCTCCAGGAAAGGAGGTAGGCTGGCATTATAGCCACTCACCCTTCTGCTGCAGGGCCAGCTGGCGCTTGGTCTCAATGTCCTGCAATGTGGCTGCCAGGTTGCGAGGAAGGCTTCCTGTGCCATTCTGGGCGAGTAGAGCACCCTGGAAGAAGGTGGAACAACAGGACATGAGGCTCGAAAGAACCCCCACCAAGGCTTTCATGGGTGGCTTTGGTCTCTCCCCAGTGTAGGAATCTCCATCACCCTACCACCACCACCCTGCTACACACACAGCCCACCCACTGTCCTCAGACCTTTGGGGAGGGGCTACGGCCCAAGGTAGCCACACTGAGCTGGGAGGAGGAGGAAGAAGAACCAGAGGAAGAGGGAAGGGGGCCACTGCGGTTACGGGGCAGAGGGCTGGTGGCTTCCCCATCCATCTTGGAGCGGTAAACCTAGAGGGAAGAAATACTGCCTGGTGAGCCCCGGCTCCTCCATTGTTACCACCCCCACATCTCAAAGACTGGTTGGCATCCAAGATACTTCTCAGGCACCAGGCCTGTCTCTAGCTGACAGCAGCATTGAGCCTTCTGGTCCAGCTCAATAAGCAGATGTTATTGACAGCTGCCAAGCCTCCTTTCCAGGCTGTTCCTTCTTGGGACAATCCCTGGTCCAACCCTGCATCTGAGAAAGAGCTTTGTAAGTGGGCCCATGCAAGGAATTAACATTGGCCGGGCAGAGTTGTACAGAAGACCAACTAGAGGCCAAGGTTCCCTCTGGTCCCAGCTCTGCCACTAACACGCTATGCAACCCTTCAACTATGCACCTCCCCATTCTGGGCCTTGGATTCCTTCCTTGCAAAAGGAATGGGAATGGCCAGACTAAATAACTGCCAAGCTCACTCACAGCATTAATGTTTGGTGAATATGGTCTTTGGAGTTAAGAACCCTAATTCTTAGCATAGGCTCTGCTACTTCCTAGTTGTGTGGCCTTGAGGAGGTTACTTATCTTCTTTGAGCCTCAATGTTTGATCTGTAAAATGTTAACAATATCTACCTCAAAGTCTTGTGACTAAATGAATCAAAACATATGAAAATCTCTAACCAGCTGGGCACAAGGAGAGACACCGATGTTACATGAACCAAACTCCTCCTAAAGGGAAAATGGAATTTCAGCTCAGATCACAGTCCTAGAGGCATAATGCCTTCACTCAAGGAATGAATCTTGTATGGTGGGGTCTTAGGCACTATAGCAGGTCAATGGAGTGAAACCTAGGGGAGAAGACTATCCAAATACTCCTTCCCAATTCCCTGATCAACAGGTTACTGCAAGCTCAGGTAGGCCCATGACCTCCATGGCAACTCTAAGACTTGGGGATGTCCTCAGGGCTATAACTTCAAAGTCTTTGTTCCTCTCTGTCCTGCCTCCAAGTGTCACCCCTGAGAAGACCAGGAGAGCAGAATTCTGGCAGTTCTCCCAGGCTGCAACAAACTCAAGAGTGTGTCAGGTCCCCAGACTGCATGAGAAGCTCCAGGGTCGAGGGCTGCCAAGAACAGAGCAGCTGCAGTCTAGCCCACACAAGGCGCCAAACAGCTCTCACATGGACCAGTGCTCCCCAACCCCCCTTCCACTGGACAGTCAATCATGTCACCTTGGGACTCATGAAGCTGGCCCTCCGGCTGCCAAAAATGCCAGGATGAATGCCCTTGAGGAAACCCTAACTGCCATCTCAGGGTCCGGACATCCCATGTTGTCCTGGTTGGACTGATCCCCCACCATCTACAGTGGCACATGTGGCTGATAGATTGGCAGGGGGTACCCAGAGAGGAGAGGAGCAGGGATCGGGGAGGGATGGGCAGTAACGAAGGGGGTTACCTGCAGTTGACGAAAAGCTTTGGTGGGCAGAGGCGGGGGGGAAGAACGAGGGGAGGCTGCAGCAGGGCCAGTCCCCAGCCCGGCCATCAGCTCCTGGTACCATTGCTCTAAGTCTATAGCAGGGAGCAGCAGCTTCTCCATCTAGAGGAGAGCATGGAGAGGGGAACAGGGTACAAGAGGGGAAGGATGGAGAGGAAAAGTAAGGAAATGAGAGGAAATGAAAAGGGAGAAGGAAGAAAAGGGAGAAGAAAGGGGAAGATTGGAGGAAGGTTAAAGGAAGGTCATTGTCAGAAAAAGTGACAGGAAGGTGAGGGAAGAAGACAAGGAAGGAAGGAAGGAAGAAGAGTGTAAAGAGAAGGAAGAGAAAACAGTTGTTGTGAACATGCTAAGGGCAAAGAGAAACAGTCAGGTAGAAACTCCCAGAACACAGACATGTGCTATGCCAACCAGAGCCCACAGGCACCGATCCCTCCCCTGAGGCTGGCCCAGAGCTGGGAAGCTAGGAGAGCAAAGGTAAAACACACAGACAGAACCACACCAGTAATGGGCTGGGGGTGGCAGGAACACAAGGCCATCAACCTTGGGTGAAGGCGTGAGAGAAGCGAAGGAGGAAGAAGAGGGCAGAACAGGAGGAAGGCAAGAGGTAAGAGCCAGGTCCTGGGAAGGAGGGCCCACAGAGACAGGCCTGCTACAGGGGTTGTGGGCACAGGCGAGGTGCCTCACAACGCCTTTGGCTGCTCAAGCGTCATGTACTTGTGGGAAGGCCAGGACGTAGGAGAGAATACAAGAGGTGAGTGGGACTGGAACCCAAGAGAAGGTCTTGTCCATGGGCAAAGGAAGGGCAAGTACAGGAAGCACAGAGCAGAGGATGCTTGAATAACCCAGGGAAGCCGGAGTCCTCTCAGCACAATGCCCTCTTGCTACAGCAGAAGGCCTGCTCCTACGTGAGCTATCAGGAGCTGGAGAAAACTCCTGAACCCTAGGGAAGAGAGAGAAGCACTCCCAACCCCATTTATGCCAGCTGTCCTTCTCCCTCAGGGTCCCCCAACCCAGACCTGAGGGGCAATTGAGGGCATCCATGAGGAGGCCCCTGGGCATAGGCTGATACCTCCCTGTCAGGCAGGGGCTGTGTGAGCGTGCGGGACGTTGGGGTGGGAGGCTCAGGGAGGGGGAGGGGCAGAAGCCTAGGGGGTTCAAGCAGAACACAGCTAGAGAACTTCTGCCAGACTCACACATTCCTGGGGTGCTCAGTGGGTGGAAAGGGTAGTCAGAGAAGAGGTTAACAGGTTTCAACCAGGTACCAGGCACCCAAACTTCATGTTTTAGAGCCATCACTCATTCCATACAAAATCCAGAGCAGGGGTGGGGAGCTCAACTGTCCACTGTAATCATAGATGGCTGTGGGGGCAGCGGGGGACCAAAAAAGGGCAGGCAGAGCCAGCTGTCTGTAGGCTCTTCTTGACATCCACTTCCGAGGCTGCCTTGGCATCTAGGCCCTGCCCCAAGCAGACCCTGAAGGCCCATCCCTGGGTTTGGCCTGGGCAGGGGGCAGGTGAAGAAGCATCGGGAAGGCCTTCCAAGAACCCAGCAAAGACCAAGACCCAACACCGTGGGCATGCCCAGTAGGGTACACACACACATAGCATCAAACACCAGTCACACCATTCCTGATGGTCCCCTGCATTCTATCTGTTGGAGCAGTGGTTGTAAGGAGTGGGAGTGGAGACACCTCTAGGGCCTGAGCAAGATGAGCTCTGAGAAAGAGACCTTGGCAGGAAGCAGTGAAAAGCAAAATGGGCTACTGACCAAGGGTTAGGACTTGGAAAGATGCTAGCACATTAGACTGAGGGCTGGGAGGCCAGGGACTGTCATATTTCCTGACCATATCCTTACAGCCCTGAGCTTATCTAGGTGTTGAGGCATAGCAGGCATCCAAAATGCACGCTGAATCAAAGCACAGAGTCCTGAGCTGGCCCTATCCAGGGGTCACAGAAAATGCAAATGAGCTAGGGGGTCCAGTGTTTGTGAGAACTGACAAATGGCATGCAGGATACATGCAAATTAACATGCAAACTGATGCTCTGATTTTTTGTGAGCTGCTCAGGCACACCGGCATTCACTCAAACTTGCAAACTCTGGCCAAAGGATTGCTGCCACACACCCTTAAGCTGGGCCCTTGGGAGATGCTGTAGGCAAGAGCTCAGTAAGCAGACAGACAGGCAGTGAACACAGCAAAGCAAGCAGTTAGCTGTGATTACCTCTTGTGCTTTGGGGCAGAGCTGAGTGAAAGCAGGTGGGGTTAAAGGGACAGAGGAGGCGCCAGCCTTAGATGACCCTGGGAATGCGCCCAGAGCCACAGTCCCCAGCTCCCTCTCCGAGGACTCGGAGATGAGCAGTTCAGCCTACAGAAAGGGTATGTGGTGAGGGGCCTCAGCTCTCATACTCAGCCCAACCACCCTATCCCAGCCCTAAATTGCTCATGCAGTGAGGCAGGAAGGAAGGGAAAGGGTTCAGAAAACTGGGCATGTCCTCTTTGGGCCTCACACGCCAGGCACAAAAAAGACTCAGGAAAGAATGACTTAAGGGGCCTGAATGCCCACTTCTGATCTAAGAGCCTAGTTCTAGACCAAAGCCCAGGGACTCCAAGGTCAGGACCTGTAGACTCCTATCCTCCCCATGAAGATGAGTCTGCCCAGCCCTGGCCTTTTCCAAACCACTGAATAGCCCATCCTCCTCATGATGTATTCAGCCACCCAAAATGGTAAGACCAGCGGGCTCCTGGAAGGCAGAAAGATAACTAAACAGAAGCAGCTGGTAGCCATAGAGGGTCCCAGACCTCAGGACCATTCCAATTTGCATCTCTCCAGTTCAGGAAAATGTCCCCATACTCAATCTCAGACATTAGGGTGAAAGTACCACATGTTGTTCCAGAGCCTCCCAAGAGGACCCTTGGGTCTGAAGCTGGGCTGACAGAACCATGTTACCTCTTTGAGAGTTGACGTGGTCTTTGGGAAAGGCCTGCCCCCTGTGAGTGAGTGGTATCTTCTTTCCAACATAGTCAGTTTCTCCTTCTCCTACAAGTCCAAAGTGGCAAAGAATCAAAAAGGAATGGTACCACTGCAAGGGAGGAGCCCAAGCAAAGGGGGAATCCTGCACTACCCTTCTCCTTCCCTCCCTCCTCCCCACCCAGCTGAGCTACCTTCTGCAGCAGCTGCAGGGAGGCGTTCTTGTCCCGGGCCAGGCGCTCCGACTCCTGCACAGCCTGAGCCTGGATCTGCCCAGCCTGACTGTCCAGGACTGCCAGGCGCTCCTGGAGGAGATGGGGTTGGTCAGTCAGGCCCTGGGGAGACAGGGCTGAGCCCAGGGTGAGGCTTGGCTACCTCTCCTGCCCAGAGACCCTGGGCTTGTGTGAAGGCAATCAACCAGCTCTTCTGCTTGGCCTCAACTTACCCTAGGAAAATCCAGGCTGCTGCTGTGGTCAGCCCCTTCCCCCACCCCTCCCTTGACCAGTGACCCCTGTGTCACCAGGGATACCAGCCAGAACCCAAGTCCCCAAACCTCTCTTCCCTCCAACCCCACAGGCAATATGTCCAGAATCTTGTAAATACTGAACAGTTCTCCACCTGTCCCTTTCCCCCCATCCCACCTCCACTATCACCACTCAGATCCAGGCCCTTTGCTTCCCTGGCCTGAACTTTTTCACCAGCCTCCTGCTTCTAACTGTCACAGCTTTGTGATCCAGTCCACACTGCCACAAATACCTTTCTGAAATGGCCTGTGAGGTTTGTTTTTGTTTGCTTGCTTATCTGAATTTTCTAATCTCTCTAAGGAGAATACATATTACTTGAATAATTTTTTAAAAATCCACAAGTAAAGTTAGACCACTCCTCTCCTGAAAATCTTCCAGTGATTCCTCATTACTCTCAGGATAAAGCACAACCTCCTAAGCCAGAACTCAAGGCTCCCAGAGCTGGGTCTACACTTTTCAGCTCCCTCCCACCCTGAACCCTCTGTGTTCTGAGTCCTGCCATATTGTATGCTCAGTTGTGAAGCTGTGTACTCTCAGGCCTTTCTTAAACTGTTCCCTTACCCTAGAAGAGCTATCCCTGTCTTCTTCGCCCATCAAGAGCTTATTTATCCTACAAGACTAGACCAAATGCTATTTTTTCTCTAACATCTTCCTTGATCACCACTCAATTTCTTTGCTCCTCCTTCTGTGCTCATATTATTCTATATCACCATTTGCTTTGTATTACTCTTACTTGTGAACATATATTCCCATCAATACCACCCCACCCAGATTGTCAGATCCAAGAGCAGGGCCAGTGTCTTTTTCATCTCCACATCCCCATTAGGGCTTTAGCCAATGCCTCCCTCAATAATCATGTGCATAAATATAATAATAAAAAATAATAATAATAATAATAAATGTGAGAGAAAAGACAGAGGCTAGGGAAAATGGGCTGGGTTAATCCCAAGAGAACTTTCTGAAAGAGATGGCTTTAAACCACCACCCTTAAGAGTAAAACATGGGAAAGAGGGAGGAAAGAAAGAAGCTGACCTAAATCTGGGGTCAGCCCAAGAAAAGACTGAAGCAGAGGAGGCAGTAATCCTCAAAGCAATACTTCTGTTTACAGTTTAGTGAGAACCTATTAGGACCCCAGAACTCTGCTAAATGCTTCATATTTGTTACCTCGTTTTACCCTCTTATGAGGCAGGTGCCTTTATGCCCATTTTACTGATAAGGACACTGACATATTTAGGAGGTAAGATATCTTAACTAGTTGGTAGTAGAGTAGAACCAGATCTGTTGAACACCAAAGACATACTCTGAACCACTCTGAGCCTGACTGGAGAGGACAGGGAAGCATAGGGCACCGGAAAAGATAGAAACCGGGGTGGGTGAGACACTGAAAGTCAAAGATGAAAGATGAGCAAGGCTCATGAGGAGAAGCACAGGGAAGAATATGACCCCTGAGTCCCAGTGGCTGAGCTCCAGTTTTCTAAGGGCCTGGGTGGGCATGGGGAGGAGGGACCAGGAGTCCGATACTGTTGACCCCTCCCAAATTCTCTGGAGTTTATACCCACTAAAACCTGGAAGTGAGGGGATTAACTGATCTAAGGCTCTCTGATGCATTCTCTCCAGAAGGAAACAGAAAGAGCCCAGAGAAGTGCCTGCCCCCAACCCCAATGCAGTATAATATAGAAGGAACAGGGTCTTTGGGGCCAGGCAGTCCTGGGTTCCAATTCCAACTCTGAAGCTTAAAATTTGAGAGGTTTTGGGCAAATCTGGAGCGTTTCTGAACCCTGCTTTCATTGTACAGGGTGGGGCAAGAGTAGGTTTATAGTTGTGAAGAGAAAGCTTATTTTTGTATTTTTATTAATTATTGTGCTGTTTTCCATACTAACAAATGTAAACCTACTTTTGCCCAACCCTATATATAAAATGGGGTAAGAGCCCTGGCCAGGTAGTTCAGGTGGTTAGAGCATCATCTCAATTCACCAAGGTTGCAGGTTTGACCCCCCTGTCAGGGCATATACAAGAATCAACCAATGAATGAATAAATAAGTGGAACAACAAATTGATGTTTCTTTAAAATAAATAAGATAAAATAAGCTAAGAGTACTGGGCTTAGGAGACCATCCTAAGGTCAACATGAGATAACACAAGGAAGCCCCCCGACACGTAGCCATGTGCTTGGGAAATGACAGTTTTCTTCCTTTCATCCTCACATAAGAAGTAGATGCATTTGTAAGGCAGAGAAGCTTGGAGAGAGAAGCTAGGGATCTGAACTCAGGGGGTGGTCCAGCTGCTCCTCACTTACCAACAAACCCAGGCTAGTCTTCAAACCCCCAACTCACCACTTTTTGACATCCCTCCCCGGTCTCACTGCCAGCCAGGCAAACTGCACAGGCATGCATGCGTGTACATGTACACACAAGTCTCAGCCACAGGCATGTGAGCCGCCTGAGCCTTTCTCCAATTCTCCTTTTCAACATCTTCTTAACCTTTGCTTGACATAAGCCTCCTCCCAACTTTACTCTCCACCCTCACACACACATATTCCTGCCCCGTTACCCTGTCCTGCTCTGGTTGAAATCAGAAGCATCACAGCATCTAGAGCTCCAGGCCTGGCCAGGATACGATAGCCAATCCCCTTGGTTTATGGCTCAGCTGATCCAGGGCTGAGCCAAGGCTGGAACCCAGGTGACACCCTTCCTAGGACCCAGACCTAATATCCAGATCTTAGGTCTTTGGACACATCCCAGACAGAGAGCCCTGAAAGGGCAGGAGCAAACCTACTGTTCAGCTTCCCCCTCCTCCATCTCCATCTTTCACTGCCCAGCCAGGGCCCAGCTCAGAATGTGAGCCCAATCTACTTTCCACTGAGGACTCGGGGAGTCAGGGCTTAATAACAATAGCCATAGTTTGCTGAGTGCTTACTATGATCATATCCTCTACTGTCTCCATATCATCTTGGTTTAATTCTCACAACAGTCTGTTATTGTTCTCATTTTATGATGAGGAAACCAAGGCTCAGAAAGTTGAAGTTAACATTCATGAGGTCATCAACTGGGATTCAAACCCAGGTCACTCTCCTCCCACCACACCCAGTACTGTGTACCATACCCAGAGGGGACAGAGAATGGAGCAGGACACACCTTCCTCTTGGTGATGCTGCGGAGAAGCTCAGCCTTGCTCAAGAGAAGCCCCTGGCTGGCCAGCTCCCGCTCCTCTTCCACGTGGCTCTCCCGCTCCAGCTGCTGGAACTCCAAGTCCTCAAAGAGCTTTGTCTCTGTCTCCAGGGCCTCTGCCTCCTTGAAAGACAATGACAAAGGGGGTTGGGTTGTGCTCAAAATACCACTCTGGGCCTGGAAAGACAGGCCACAGAGGTGTGAATTTTGGGGGCTGGACCTGGGGAAACTGGGGAAGGAACCTGTGCCCATCCAACCCCTTTTCCTCTGCTTGGCTTTGCCCCTTCCACAGGCATCACTGCCTGGAGCAGCAGAAAGGAGAAAACAGATCCCCCCAAGTCCTTCCCTGTCCCCTCCAAACCAAAGCACCGACCCTGGTATCCTGGCAGGTACTTCTGGGCCCAGGTGGTCCTGTCCCACCTCTCTTCTCTCTTCCAGGCAGGTGGCCCTCAGGGCCAGGGAAAGGGGGGTGCTGGTGAAACTGACCCTTCTCAGCTGCTCCTGTAACTGTTCCCGCACTGACTCGGGGCAGTTATCGAGTTGCATCTGGAGCTTGGCGTAGAGCGCCTGGCGGGCCTCCAGGTGCCTCCTTCCCGTGGCCAGCTCCGCCCTCTCCTGGTTGGCGGGAGGGGGAGGGGGCGGGCACAGAGGGAGAAACAGAACACACACTCCTCAACTCCGGTCAAGGCAGGCAGGAGGGGCCATGGGGCAGGGCAGGGAGGGTGGGAGAGAGAAATAGCGAGCAGGAATGGAGGTGGGAGAGAAGAGGGGGAAAAAAAATGAGGAATAAAAGAGAATAATAACCAGGAAAGGAGAAAGAAAAGAGGAGAAAGAGGAAGTAAGGGGGGAAGAGGTAAAGAGTGGGAGAAGCAAGGGGCTAAGGTGTCAGGCCTTAGAAGTGAAGGGGATAGTGTACCATGGGCAGAAATTTTGGTCTCTTGGAGTTCCTTAAACTAGAAACGTTTGGGTAGGTCCTAAGAAAAGGCCCTCTGTTTTCTCTCCAAACCAGCCAAAGACAAAGGTGGTTCCACATCACAAATAGGGAGCTTCTAGCTCCTGTTCCTCCCCATCTTCCACTGCCCAGAGACCAAAATTTAACCCTGGGGGAACAAGGGTAGAGATGGGAAGGGTTAAATCCAGGGGATGGGTGTGAATCAGGAGCTGAGAACATAAAGCTACAGCAGTGCAGGAGGGGACCCAAGCCCAACCCCCTTGGCCTCCCTCCCTCCTGCCCAAAGTGGGGGTGGGGTGCTAGCACAGCAGGCTGAACTTCAGCAGGATAAGGGCTGCAATTAGTTCAGGCGTTGCCATGGTAACAGGTGCCCCAGGAATGGGTACAGAGAGGAGGTGGATGGCTCTGTCTGGGGCGAGATGACACCTCTGAGGGCAGGGAAAGGAGGGGAGGAGCTGGTGAATCACCCCTCTTAAGGACAGGCAGAGGAGAAATTATGACTACTAATTCCAAAGCCAGAGTGGGGCCATAGGCTAGGGGCTGAAGAGGGAAGTTGTGAGACCACCACCACCACAGCCACCTCAAAAAGCTGGGCCCAGAGAGGAGATAAAGTCCAGGCCTCCACTGCAATGCCAGGTAAATGAGAAATGAAGTTAGGCAGGTTCTTCACCTGAGAATAAGACCCTATGCTGAATCCTGCTCCCATCTACCTTTATACTCCACACCCGTTCCTGGAGAGGAGGACCTGATCGGTTCAGTCCTGGGTTCCAAGTACTTCCCCACCTTGGACTCAGCTTTTACAATAATACTCTAGGTTCTAGATGATTTAAGGGCAGGAAGGAGGGGAGAGGCTACTCATTCCCATCCTCTGCTTGAGGTATCTGAATTTGGGAAGCCCCAAGGGGAAGAGAGTGTGGCAGTGGCACAGAATCCCTGTCCCAGCCCTCTGTAAGCCATGTGACCACAACTACACCTCCTTACCCCTCTGCTCTGGAGGGAAGGTGGGTGCATGGCTGGAGGACAACAGTCTGTGGAGGCAGCACCCAGGCTTTTCCAAATGTGAGGAGCTCTTCAGATTGAGAAGCTCCTCAGCCAAGCATTTCCCCAACCTCATACCCATCCTGCCAATGCCACTGGGTAAAGTTGAGCTGTGCCCCTTGCCTATTCCTTTCTGATCAAAACCCTGGGGTCCTACACCAAGAAAGAAGGCAGCATTAGAGGGGAGAGACCGAGGGCCCACGGAGTTAGTGCAAAAGCAGGCATGGCTCAGCCCTGCCTGAATGGCACTGGCAGTTAGGGGCATGCAGAGAGCCCAGGACAGTGATTGGGGGGAAGCGGGGGGTGTTAGTGCAGGCCTGTTTTGTAAGCATGGAGTTAATTTGGCACAGAATTTGGGAGTGTGGTTTTGGGGGCCAGAGCCAAAGCTCAAAAAAATAGGAGTATCAAAGAATTTTTAAGAGCTTCAAAATTAAGGGAAGGAGAAAGACATTCTCAAAAAATGCAGGAGGAAAATTAATTCTTGGGAAACTACTGTCAAGTCCAAAAATAGATGACTCCTCTCCACTTCAGAGCTTTTGGCATGGTGTAGGGCATCTTGGGCATGAGTGGCACGGCCCCTGTGGGACAGAGCGGTCCCTGCAGGCTGGCAGGGGATCTGAAAGGGGCAGGGGCAGGAGCTGGGACCATCTGGAATAGGAGGCTGCAGATTCTGAAGGCCCGGGGAGGGGGGGGGGCGGGAAGCAGCGATCCAAAGGCCATCTCCCAAAGACCACATCCTGAGCACTAAAGCATGCTTGGAGAGAGATATTCTCCAGATGGAGGGACCCAAACCTGAATCACTCCCCAACACCAGTCCCTCAGCTCTGTGCTTATTGCCCAAGAAGAGGTTTTGGTACTTATTAGAAGGGCCACGAAGGGCCCAGAATGGCAGGTACCCAGGAGCCCAGAGGTAGCACAGAGACCCAGACAGAGGAGACCCCAGACACCAGCCCAGCCCGCAGTGACTTCCAAGCTGGTACCTTCCACAGAGGACAAGGGCCCTACCCCTGGAGCAACACAGAGACCACCTGGTCTGCAGGCTGGATGATGAGGGAAGAGATAACAGCCCGCAGAGAAGCTTCTTCTCCTTCTCTCCCTAGGCCACTAGTCCCCAGCATGAGTGAGGCCAGGTATTGGTTACCTTGTCCCTCTCCTTTTGGATGCCTGTCTCCAGGGTCACCAGCTTCTCCTGTAGCTGGTCCACTGCCTTCTGCTCCTTCTGCAGCAGGGCCCACTCTGCCTCCCTCTCCCCCTGCAGCAGTGCCCGCTCCATTTCTGCCTGGGAACAATACCAGGGTTCACATCAAAGCCGGTTAAGACAACTGGACTCACACCACCCTCTGCCAGAGTCCTAAGGCTTACCTCTCGAGCCGACTCCTGCAGTTGCTGCTCCAGCTCCTTCACACGGACCTTGAGCTGCTCCACTTGCCCCAGCACCTGAGCCCGCTCCTCCTCCAGGGCCAGCACCTCTCCTTGGAGTTTGGTGCTAGGTGCATCTTCATGCTGGAGGGGAGGCAAGCCATCAACTGGAGAAGTCTAGAGCCTTCCAGGATGAGACTAAGACAATGAATGGATCCCCATGTCTCAGGGCACCTGGACTACTGAGATAGAAAGCAAATTCTTTTCCCTGCATGGGGAGCAATACAGACTCATTTAATTGGAATATTTACCACTGAGGCCCTGGCCAGGTGCCTCAGTTGGTTGGAGCATCATCCCTTACACCAAACAGTCACAGGTTTAATTCTGGGTCAGGGCACATACCTAGGTTGAGGGTTGTGCCCCAGAGGGTTGGGGCACATATGAGAGGCAACTGATCAATGTTTCTCATGTCCACATTTCTCTCTCTCTCCCTCCCCCCACCCCTGCTCCACCCCTTTCCTCTTTCTCTCAAATCAGTAAATATATCCTCCGGTGAGGATTAAAAAAAGATATACCACTGAGTGCCAGACCTGGATGGGGCCCACAGAAAGGCAGATCATAAAGCATATTTATAGCTTGGCAAACTCATCAACAACTTCCTCACTTTCTTGCCTCATTTCTGCACTTGTCATACCTGCTCCCATCCCAGACTGAATCCTTCAATCACTTCCTGTCACTGGGCTTAGCACCACCACAAATGCCTGACTGCTGTGCCTCCTGGGAGGTCCAACCACAGCCCCTCCACCCAGCCCACTCCCTAACATCCCACCTCTTGCTGGGTGCTCTCAGTGCTACTGCATTCCTCTTTGAGATTTTCCTCATCTGAGCGTTCCACACTCTCCCACAGGTGTTGGGTGGCAGCTCCAGGCTCCTCATTGCTCCGCCCACAGGTTCCAATGGACCCTGAAAAGCCTCGTGAGGGCCTCCGGCCTGCCAATGCCAATGCTGCAGTGGCCTCCCCGATGCTGGGCAGCTCCCCAGCCTCAGGTCCCCCATCAGCACGGCTGTACTCTGCACAAAGGTTGAGGATGGTCTCCAGGCGCTGCCGTTCCTGAGAAGTGTAGACAGACAGAGTAGGGAATGAAGGGGAGGAGGCAGGGTCCTGGTGGGACGAGAGCCAAGCGCTGTGTCCTGTCAGGAAAGAGAACTAGGATGCTAGGGGCGTGAGACTCAGAATCAAGTCAGGAAAGTCACCCCCCACCCCACACAAGGTCTAAGGAAGCAGAGGCAATGAGACTCTCCAGAAGTAAGCAGGAGAAACCAGGCTATTGTGTCACCTGCTCACATGGCTAGCCCTTCCTGTCTTCCTTTTTCCTTTCCCTTCTCATCCCAGGGTAGGACACACCCAGACACACAAGGGAACACACGCTGGTAAGCAAAGACCACAATGAGACACAGGTAAACACTCAAGTACTCATGCTGACACGAATACACGATGACCCATGACATAAGGGGATACAAAGACACCCCAACACGCCAACACTGACAGAGGACAAAACATGTGCCTTGGGCCTGCATTAACAGGCAGGTAAACATAAAAACACCAGTTCTGACATGCACAAATGCACACCGATTCACACTTACACAGATAAACATAGTCCAGCACACAGACAGGTGGGCATTGACACAGAGCCAGAAAGGAGACCCCTGGGCCCACAGGGACCTGACAAAGTTCACACAAAGAAATACTCAGTGTGCATACACCTGGCCAGACAGACCTGGGACGTGGTCCTCCTCATCTCCACAACTCCAAGTCACTCAGGCAGCCCTTGACTCCTGGCTCCTTCCCAGCAGGGTGGACTGCGTAAATGCCCTGGCCCATGTGAGTGCTTCATGGCCCTGACACTTAATCTGGGCCCTCCCCACATACAGCCCACCCAAGATATCTCTCAGGGCTTAGGATATAAAAGAAGGAAGTTATAATCATGTCCCAGGCCTGTGTCCCCCTTTCCCATCCACAACACCCCAGCTTCCCCCATGGCTCTCCAGGGTCCCTCAATCTCAGCTGTCTCCTCCCATCGTGTACAGTTTGGCCATGGCCCACCAGACACTTACCCAGCTTCCCTGTCGTTGCTTGCCCAATTCCATGGCAAAAAAAATAAATAAAAAACAGGAAGAGCCTCAGCACTCAGGAGGCTGGGCCCGTGCCCCCACCCCCTACCTCAATACCCAGATAAGCAGCCTGGTTGAGGTGGGAGGGGCAAGGTCGGCAGACTCCAAGATTTAAAGTGGCAGGTGGGGCAGGTCAGGGCTGGTGATGAGGCGTGTGCTCATGTGAGGGAGGGGGCAGAGAATGAATGGAGGAGTTGGAGGAGGCTGAGCCATCACTCTGCCTGTGCCGGGTTCACTGGCCCCTCTCCAGAATGAGCCCCCATGGTGGGCCAAGCCTTCTCATCTAGGCAGTGAAGAGAAGATGTAGCAAGGCAAAACTGGGGATCCTGCCTCATCTCTCCCCAAGCAACACAAACACACTGTCCGACATTTTCACCTCACCCAAAGCTGTCCTGACCTCTTCTGAAAGGGTCTCCAGACAAACCTCAATTCTCATTTTCCTCCTCTAACCAATCTCAGGGCCCCTGAGCCCCACCAGGAACCTCATTCTTCTGCTCACAAGAGAGAACAGGCAGAATTCATTCTCCTGTACATGTGCTCAAGTGTGGACACACCAGCCAGAGCCCCTTGAGTTCCCTGTGCTATATGAGGAATCTCAACCTCCACCCAGCTCAGATGCTATCTCGAGGACAGAGGCATACCCACCCTCCAAATGCACACCAATATATACAATCACACAGGCTGCCCAGATCAAGCAGGGGCTGCCCATCCTGTTCTCTTCCTCTTCCCTGCCACCTACATTCCCAGATGGTCCTGCATGGCCCAAGATAAGCAGCTCCAACCCACTTATAGATGCCAAAGTGAAGCAAGAAAGAAGGACCAGGGGCTTTTCTAAAGAACAAGACTTGGAAAGACAAGAGACTTGTCTTCCAGTCCCAACTGTGCAACTTGCTCTGCAGCCTAGGAAAAACCCATTCTGCTCTTTGGGCCCCAGACCTGCTTCTCAAACTGAAGAGGGCAAGGCCTCAACCATAAATGTGGTGTGCTTCCCTACAGCTGCAACGTGTTCAGGTAAATATCGTGAAAATGTATACATGAAGACAAAAGCTGTGTTACAGAATAAATGCATAATTAGCATGAATTTAAAATAAAGCCTTAGAGACTTCAGAGAAAGTTCTTCAGGGCATCAAAACCTTGAGATACCAGTCACTGTGGTGTATCCTGGGGGACGCTTGAGAAGCCCAGGCCTGTCCCTGGGCCCCTCCCATTCTACCAGCTGGCTGCCCACATGCTTGTAGAGACCCTGTAGTGGAGGTCTGCAACCTCCCTGGCACCTGCTCACCAGCCTCTCCATCTCCTGCTCCCGAAGCCGCTCTTGGCGCTGCCGCCGGTGGTACTCCAGAAGGTCATCCTCATTGTCACTGATCTCTGTAATGCTATTTTTCCGCTCTCGAGTGACAGGCACCTGTAAGTCTCCACTGGAGAGCTTCCTCTGGGCACGGGGGCTCTGTCGGGGCAAAGCTCCAGTCAAAGAACCCAGACTATAGGCTGGGCTCAGCTTGCCACTGAAGCTGCCCTTGCGAGGTACCAGGGACTCCCCAAGTGTAGGAGAGGGACTCCGTGTCCTATGGCCCCGTGCCCCTACAATCAGTGAGAAGTCCTCTGGTGAAACCCCATGGGCTGCCCAGCGCCGGGGCCGGGGACTCTCTGCCACTTCCCTGGATATCTTGGGATCTGGGGTGGTCCGAGAGGGCATGGGAGAGAGAGCCCGTCTGGACAGAGATGGGCTCAAGGGAGGGAGTTCTCGCATACTGTCCAGGCCCCTCCGGCTCAGGCGGGGACTCTCAGGAGGCTGTAAGGTGCGGGTGGATGACCCATCTGAAAATGTTCGGCCCACCAACTGGCGTGAGGGGCTGGTTGTCAAAACCCGCTCAGTGCCTGGCAGCTCACTGAGAGGGCTGGAAGGGCAGTCCCGAAGTGTGCCAGTTTTGTTGTGGGAAGCAAGGACTGGAGGCTGGAACTTAGGGCTGCCAGGAATGCTGGTGGGTTGGCTGTGGGCACTGGAAGCTGGGTATTCACTCAGGCTGATAGCCACCACAGGCAGCTGCCCACCCAGCCAGGGGCTCTCGGTGGTTCTGCGGGCCTCTGCCAAGACTGTAGCTGCAGGGCTGTCTGTCAGCAGACCCCGGAGGCCAGGACTGAGAGGCTTCTCATGACCTGCCTTCCTGCCCAGCTGAGGGCTCTCAGAGGAGCGGGCACCACTAGGTCGGGACTGCAGGGGCTGCAGAACCAGATGGTAGCTTGAGGAACGAGCAGGCACCAGTGGAGGTATAGAAGGTGCTGGCTCATGCCCACTGGGTGAGTGGCTGGCACAGCTTCCGCTGCTGGCTGGTGAGGAGAGTGGAGAGAAGGCTGGAGAGGTGTTCTCATAGCTGGAGCCCACAGACATGGTGCCAGGGCTGGTTGCAGGGGACAGCAGGTAACGACCACCATTAGCCATCGGCGACAGTGGGGACGTTGCAGCAGGCTTCTTGCAAGTAGCTCCAGGTTCCTCTAGCACCAGTGAATCCATGATATCCTGCAGGTCCTTCTCAATAGAGCTCACCAGGGAACTGTGGCTGGCATAGGCTGAGGGCCCCTGGTGTGCAGGCTGTGGGGTGTGGTTCCCATTCACCAGGCTTTCTGATTCTGCTAAAAGGAAATGCAAAAATGCCTGAGGTCCTGGTCTTTGACTTTGGGGAAGTCCACATGCATAAGAGCAAAGGCCCTCCCCTACCTCCTCTTAGCAGAGAAGCCCCAGGAGACCTGGGTTCCAGGGCTAACCCTGCCACTGACCTGCTGTGCAACTTTACCAGAGTCACTTGCCCTCAGTTTTCTTCTGTAAAGGAAAAGGATGGGTAGGAATCTACTGGCTCTAACATTTTATGACTTAGGACAGAGTTAGCAATAATGCCAGGGACTCACCACAAGACTAGGTGCCTCCCTGCCTTGGTTTCCCCAACCTCCTCTATCTCTCCTTCAGGAAGGACAGGCGAACCTTCTGCAAAAGGGATTCAGGCATGCTACGGAGCTGTCAAAAGTTCCAGGAGGGGTCTCAATCTAATAGGACATGAGGGGCTACCAACACAGTAGCCAAAATCCAGGAAAAAACACACACAAAGCCTCCAAGGCTGAATGAGGGGTGTGTGTGGCACTACTTTGTCTAATCAGAGGCAAGTGAGGGGCCTGGCACTGACGGTTAGTTCCTGGAAGCCAGGCTGACCAGCAGTTAGGTGCAGCTCAGCGCCTCCAATTAACCCATTAAGCCATGCCAGTCAGAGCCTCCCTGTGCCCTGCCCCAGCCCTGGTCAACCGACAGAGTAGCTGGAACCACTGCCCCAAATAGCTGAAGGACTGTCATGACAAGGCTAGGGTGGAACAGGGTAAAGTTAACTAGGGAGTGGACTGGGAACTCAGGCATCCGAGTCCCCAAGGGGCTAGAAAATACTGTGGGGTAAAAGAAGAGACAGGAAAGCCTTTACAAGAATGAGTTTAGGTCCAAAATTAGGACTATGTAGGACCACAGTCAGAGGGACTACCATGGACACTGGTGATCTCAGTGACCACCCATCTTTTCTCAGATCCCCAGACTACCCAATTAAGCTACCAACAACACCCTGCTAGGTGTATCTGACACATATGTCCACCTGTTCCAATACCATGTTGACACCTGTCATCCCACAGCCATCTGAATGCCCATCCAAAGTCTGGGATGGTAGACCCACTGGCAGCCTCCTGGTCAGCATCCCAACCCCGAGGCACCTAGGCTGAGGGGAGCTGTGCTGGTTCCCTGGGATAATTACCAACTCTCCTCTGGGGATCAATAATTCAAACCTAAACTGCAGCTGCTCCACTGAGTCATCAACTGGCATAGCATGGCAGGGGGTGGGCAGGGCCCAAGGACATGATCACAAGCAAGCAGGAACCACCAGAGCTTAGAGAGATTCAACCTAATACTTCCTTCTGCCCACCTCAGGCCACATGCAACAGCAAGGCTCCATTGTGCTGATACAAGAGGGCCAAGGTCCCAGATATTGAGGTGGCATCTTCCAGGGCAGGGGGACACAAGCTGGCAGAGCCCTCCATCTCTCAGACTCACGATTCCCCAATTCTAGCCAAGCAGCACTTCTTGAATCTCACTCAGTGGTCAGAGTGCCTGGCATTCTCCACCAGTGGCCCATGGCAGGTGGCAACAAGCCCAGATCATGAGTGTTGTCCTGCCCTGACACTACAAGTGTCACTGGAGAGGGCAAGGAGAACTATCGAGGGGATACCAACAACCCAGCCTCTTACCCCAACTGGGTACCTACCTGGGCCAAAGCTGTAGGGGGGCCCAGGGGCCCGGCCCCCTGCCGGAATCATGCTTTTCATCCACTTGGCTTCGGCCGGGTGATTAAAGCGGAGGAAGGTGGACTGGCCCAGGCACAACATGCAGCCTTCAAAGAAAGAAAACACTTGGAAAGGCAGGCAGGGCTAAGGCAGCCCTCATCCCACTCACAGGTTCACCCCAGGTTCCAAAGAGCCACCCCCACCTGCACGCAGTGTCCACACTATCTACACCTGACCCTACCTGTGGTTGAGAAAAGCACTGGCAGGACTTAAGAACACAGAGCAGAATGGAAAGAGCAGTGGTCTATGAGTCCCAAGATCCAAGTACTAGTCCTAACTCTTCTTCTTACTACCTGTGAGAAGGTACGTTCAGGTGAAGTCACTACACTCCCTGAGTCTAGTTTTCTCTTTAGAGAAATGAGGACAATACCAATAACCTTGCAGCTAAGACAGTGCAAGTGAAAGTGCTCTGGAAATGGAGAAAATTCTTCCGAGAACATAGGCACTCTCATCGCCCCAACCTGACATGTACCCATGCCTCCTGGGTGGAAGGGTAATTTTGAGAGGCAGCAATTTCTAGGATCATAAAGAAACTCTGAGATAGGAGACAGAGAAAAACCACAATGCCCCCTCATGGAACAAAATTTGCTTCCTGACTCTAAAAGTGGGAGTGGTTACCACGCTTTCTCTTTGACTATGTCCCTGGCCTGACATCCTCCTGCTCTTACGTCTCCCCTGGAATGTAGCCAAGCCTAGACCAATGGGCCCAGCCTCAGCCAAGCACATTCCCAGGTAATAGACACAAGTCCAGTCCTGTCCAGGAAGTGTGAGTGCATGGAAGGGGGAGGGTATGAGGGAGCCAGAAAATGTAGCCAGGGGCACCAGGAGTGTGCATAGCAGCAGGTGTGCCCGCAGACGCCTAAGCATAAGCATAGCTGGCAGACCTTCTCCTTCTGGCCACACAGGTGCTAGAGGACTCCTTTGAAAGATGCTATGTTTGGAGAAGCCAGAGATCCAGTGCTCCCTACCACCCACCCTTCCAATTTGTTCACACCTCTAGCCCCTGGCCCCAGCCCTCTATCTGCCCAATCTGGTGCCACTTTGTACCCCAAGCTTCATGCCAGTCTAAGCTAAGCCTGGCCAGGAAATCTACTTTCCTGGACACTGAGATAGTACAGGCCACAAGGGCATGGAGCATCCCAGGTCACCTGGGTACCTTAGAGGCCTCCCACTGAGAAGCCTGTTGCTGGAACCCAGGACATTGCCGTGGGGGCGGGGAGACCTGGCAGACTGAGAAGCCCGTAACAGATAACCATAGTGGACAAAGCCACCTACTTCTTTGGCACACCCACAGGCCCTCCCAGGCAGGCAGGCACCAACAACAGTTTTAAAGGCTAATGGGTGGTTAGGAGAGGGGGAGCTTTACTTGCCAAGCCACCAATCAGAGGAGCTGACCCCAGAGTAATCATAACCCAAATAAATAACAGCCAACCATCCATCCACCTAATTACAACCACAGCTGTTTCAAAAAGAGCCCTGCCAGGCCCCTCCCCCTCCTTTCAGCCAGTTTGTGGGGTCTAGGCCTACCGACTCAATCCTAGATTGACTGGGAAATCAGGCGGGGGCGGGAGAGGGGGTGGCAGAGGGAGGGGAATAGGGAGCCTGACCACACAGTCCAGTCTGGGAAGGAGGTGGGGAGTCTGAGTAGATCCCAGCCCATCAGTGCCAGGCCCACCCTAGGAAGCTGTGGGCACCTAGGGACCCTCAGCCCTGACTCGTACAGCTGTGAGTTCTCCGCCCATTTCTCTGCCCCTCACCCTCCTCCATGCAGGGGTGTGGCTATACTGCCTCTGGACTATAAATAGGTGATGCCAGGCAGCAGAACTGGATCTGTATTAATAGAGTGGGCAGGAGGGCAACAGGACTGAGAGCTGCCCAGCTCCTGCCTAAATTAACTTTCTATTTGCACTCAGGGGCCCCAGTAACTAACCAGGACCTAACTCTAGTCCTATGCCCTCAGGGGCCTGGCCAGCCTACTTCTGGGAAGAACCCTCCTCTCAACTCTCCTGCCCCACACCTCCAAAAGTCAGCTCATTCAGGAAACCAAGATCCCTTCTTATCCAGGCAAAGTTATGGTCAGTGCCTCCTATCCCCAAAGGGGCTTGAGGCCCAGTGCTGTGCAGATGGGTAGTCTGGCTACACACTTGGAAAGGAAAAAAAAAAAAAACAGGGCAATGGAGAGGGTGGATCCTATCTCTTGAGATGCAGAGGGGGAACACCACACACAAACACACTCATTCAGATTCACACACACAGAAACACACACACAGGAACAGGCAGACATGCTCACACACTCACACAGCAACAGTCACTGTCCTGCTGGCTGCATAAATAGAATGGACTGGCCAAAGGGAGGCTGGTATGAACGGAAGATGGAAGAAAGGGTCTTAGCCCTTCCCATCAGAGACCCATCTTAGCCATAACACAGGTTCCCCTCCCTAACCAGGACCCTTCAACCCCATCCAGAGGCAGGTCCCATATACCTAGTGTTGGGGAAGATAAAGTCTGTCCCACTGAGGAGTGGCCCCAAGCCCAGACCTCCCACTCAGAAATGCCAGAGCTCAGGCTCCCAAGGAGGAGCCCCAAGGACCCGCTCCCCCTGCTCAACCCCCTTCCAGCCCGAGCTATTCCACGCCTGGCTGCCTGAGGGCTGAGGCTGGCCCCAGGCTTAAGACTCACCGCCAAACCAGGATCTCCGGACCGCTGCCCTCCCCCGCCCCACACACACACTCGCTCGAACCCTCCAAGTCCCGGCCCGTCCGGGGCCTTTGAGACGAGGTGAGGACCTCCCACGCCAGCGGCTCCAGGCTCCGAGCAGCCAGCAGACAGGCAGCGAGCCGCCACCACTGCCCGAGGAGGGGCGGACCGGCCACCAGCGTTGGGGGAAGGGAGCCAGGGGGAGGGACAAAGGAGCGGAGGAGGGGAAGAGGAAGTGATGGAGGAGAAGAGAGGGGAGTAGGATGGAGAGGGCGGGGCGGGAAGATGCAGGGAGGGTGTGGGCTCCGGATTGTGGGGCCAGTGGCTAGAGTAGAAGCAGGGCAGGATAAGAAGGTTCAAGAGAGGAGAAAGAAGAAAAGGTGAGATTTCGGTGGAGAGACCAGAGGGTAAAGAGCCAGGAGGCAAGAGTGAAAAGAAACGGGGTCTCACTGAGACCCTTCTGTGGTACGAAGTCCCCGGAGTCCTGGGATGAGGCCAGATCAGCCACTGCCTGGCTGGTCACCTTGGGCCAGTCACACCCTCTGAGCTCATCTACAGAATGAGAAGTTGGCTTCCATAACTGCAGAGTTTATAAGCTCTGACATTCTATGGGTCCATATATCAGAGAGGAGAAGAACAGAACTCACAGGGATCCAGCTAAGTCCTGTGGTTCAACTCTGGTCCTCAGCCTGCCGTGTGACAAGGTCCCTCCTGGGCTGGGAGTTCAGGTCAAGGCAGTGCTCTGTGCATTGTGACAGCACTGAGTCCAGCTCCTGACCCATCCTAAAAACTTCTGCCATCCCAGCTCCCCATACTCCCAGGAGCTCATCTATCCCCACAACCCAGGTGATATCAAGGCACTGCCCCTTCTAAGCCAGCCCACTTCCCTGGCTCCTCCCAACCACAGCCACCAGCTGTGCTGGCCTTGGCTAGCCAAGAGTTCTCCCTGGCTCCCTCACTTCAGGCTCCCATGTCCATAGCCCTTTCCATCTGGGAAACACAGTGCCACCTGCCTCTGGAACCCCTGCGGGCAGGCTGAGGTTCTGGGCTAGGCAAGGACCTACCACTCAGCCTGGGCCCAGAGTTCCTCTTGTTCCAGGGACCTGGCCTCTGGACAGCAGAACCATAAGGGACACACTGTGTTTTCTCAGTCACATTGGATATGCTCAGAGCTCACCCAGCCCCACATACTTGTCTCACGTACACATCAACAATTGCTCAGTCACAGACACCACCTAAGCTCCCTCTGAGTCACACAAACATTCCATTTAAATATAAGTGTGTGTCTCTCACACACATTTATTCTCACACTTACAACACCACAGGCACCAACCCCCCTCTTATTGCACAGATGTCCTTTAGCTCAGTCCCTGGAGAGACTCTGAGATCAAAAGTCAACCTCCTTAGAGAAATAATCAAGTGATTTTTCTACCCTTACTGAATACCTACCCACACTGCCATACAGGCGCTCACACACTCACATGTGCATGTGCATCTTATTCCCCTTCTGAAGGAAAAAGGAAGGACCATATAGGGTCAAATGAAAAACAGGGGAAGCCTTTAAAAAGAAAATCTCCTCACTTAGAATGATTCATCAGTCTAGAAACTGTGATGGCCAGCAGGAGAGACCCAGACAGACACAGAGGATGCCCACCAGTGAGATATAGGGCAGGAGGTAGGTACAAGAAGTGGGGAGCTAGGATCCTTCGCTTTTTCTCTCCTTCCTTTGAGCTTTATTACTCAAGATCTTTTTCAGTCTTAGAAGACAGTTGGAGACTTCTCTCCCACTTTACAGAAGAAATAACTGTGGGTGGGAGAGGGAAAGTTCAGTGTCCTGGATCCCAGAGGGAGGCAGCTAGATAACCGAGGAATTCTGGCTCCCCAGCTATGTTCCAGGGAGCCTCTCAAGATGGCCCTCACACAAGCCCCTACCCACCAATGAGGGGCTTAGGGAGTGAAGGAAATCAGGAGACAAGGGCTGGCAGCAAATGCTGGGGGTAGAAGGGGACCTATTGTCTAAGCAGCCTGGGTCCTGACTGTGTGGCTTTCTGGAGTGTTCCCTACTTTATCCCCTCCCAGATCTTTCATGTGGCCTGGCCCTGTGGTCCCGCGGTAGGGCAGCCTAGACCCAGATTGAGGTTCTTCCTCATTTCCTTGGTCCTCTTCCCAGCTCCACCTCTTGCTCTGTAGAGAAGAAGGCAGCACAGGATATGCCAAAATACCCGGGTATGGGAGTGGAATCAGGATCTCCCTGGCTCCTTCATGTCAGGCTCCCATGTCCATAGGTCCAGCTAAAGGGTGGCATCTACTTTCTGCCTATCTCCCCCTACCCACAAGCCAGGCATATTCCTGCTGGAAGAGCCTGCCACTGTCATCTCTGCCAGTCATCCTCTGTGCCCCTCTAAGTTGGCTCTGGCTGGGCACAGTGCCCAGAATAATTCATTTATAGCATGGCCCAGCCAGAGTGGGCTTCTTGTTATTTCTAGGGTAGCCCTCTATTTTTCAAAGATGAGGGTCCCCTCTACAAGGCTAGATCAGGGGAACAAGACAGGGAAAATGATCCTGTTGCACAAATGCCCATAGATAGGCACATGGCCAAGTTCTCATATACACATAGGAATACACACATGGACACTTTGGTACCCTCAGTCCCGAATTCACTCCTGCCCCCTACTTGAACATTCTGATCTATAAACACAAGGAAAGACACAAACACAGAGGTACATAAGCCCAGTCACAAACACATCCGGAGATACATAAACACACTCCAGTTACACAGATACACAGAGATAGCATATAACCCCGGAGCCATCCAGTTTCCAGGGAAACGCACTCCCAAGAATGTCCGGAGTGGGGCCAGGCAGGGCTGGGCTTGGTGCCTTGCTCCAGAGATGAGACAAGGAAACCCTCAGCTCCTGGAGCCCAGGGGAGGGGGAGTGCTGGGAAGAAAAACACCCATTCCTTTGTGCTTCTGCCTACCCCTCCCAGGCTGCCAAGCTTCTGGGACAGGCTAGCCTAGACAAAAAGGCTATAGGAATGGGAGGAAGAGAAAGGGAAGAGGGTTGGGGTCAGAAGAGAGTGGGAGGGTACATTCTTGGCAAGGTGGGCTTTTGGCTATGGAAGAACTGGGAGTCAGGGAGGGGGGTGTCACAGGAAATATCTAGGAATTCCATCTTGGCCTAGGCTGTTCCTCTTCTCAGGAAGTTAAATGGTACACTGGGAAGACTGGTCAAAAGAAGCCACAGAACATTGGTTCCTCCACCCTGCTCATAACACAGGGGAAGAATGCTCTTGCCCATGAATGTGAGGGATTTACTGCTGGGGGAGTAAGGCCTGGGCTTTCTCTAGCTCTTTGAACTCTGCCCCTACCTCTCACTGATGCTCTGTCTCACTTTCATGCACCCAAATCTTGGGGAAGATGCTCTCTTTGAGATTGAAGAAGATTATCAGCAACCAGATGGCATCACAGCCAATTTATAGCATGTCTCAATATGGGGGTTCCTCCTCTCATTCAGAGTCAGAGACCTTGAAGCCCTGAAGGAGACAAGGGCTTGCCTGCTGCTGCTGGTGAGCCTGAGTCCCTGAAATCAATTGTTCCCTGCCTCCCACCCCCATGACACTCCCAAGTGCAGGAAGAAAGGCTGGGTCTCCTGAATCATCTGTGAAGGGAGTAGCATTTAAAGAGACCCCAAGGGGCCCTGGCTGGGTGGCTCAGTTGGTTGGAGCATTGTTCCATACACCAAAAGGCTGCAGGTTTGATTCCCAGTCAGGGCACATATCTAGGTTGTAGGTTTGATCTCCAGTCAGAACATGTACAAGAGGCAACTGATCAATGTTTCTTTCTCACATCAATGTTTCCCTCTTTTTCTCTCTCTCTTCCTCTCTTTCTAAAATCAATAAACTTATCCTCAACTGAGGATTAATAAAAATGAAAATAAAAGGACTCCAAGGGGTGTAACAGAAGGAGAGAGGGAAAGAGTGAGTGGGATTTCCACTGTAAAGGAGCTTCCAGCTAGTAAGAGGTAAGAGTCCCAAGAAAATGATTCCAGGATACCAGTCCTCCTGTTCAGAGTCAGGCTTAACCCAAAGCTCCCATCTTCATGTTAATTCCACCTCTATCCACTCACCCAAATCTGCTTTTCTCATTCCCTTAATGTGATGATTCACTATACAAATTGATGCCCAGGGCAAACACACTTGTTCTGTCAAAGTGCCACCTGAGCCAACCCCTTACCTGCCTGGTCACCATAGTAACAAGGGGCCTAGGTTTTAAAGCTCCCATACAATGACAAAATGGCTTATTGCTTTGGGAAACTGGGTGCTAACCATATTCACGACCCAAAAACTACCGCTAACAGGTTTTTAATAGAAGTGGGCATGTCCTGAGATTTTGCCATCAGATTTTGCATTTCCCTATCCCCATCAGAGGGTATTGTCCTCATCTCTACAGCTTTTGAGACCACAACTCCCTTTGTACAATGCCATTGTTCTTCTCACTGGTGCTCTAATTACTTCCCCTAACAACTATTAATGACCACTATGCCACTCCCCATGCTCATAGATAGCAGGAATTGGAACCTCTTCTTTCCTCATGGTGTAGGGAGAACAGACAGAAGTGATAAGAGAAGAAACAGGATGAAGGCAAGTCTGGACGCCCAAGCATTTTGGGATATTTGGCACATCAGATGCACTTGAACACCCCACCTCCAATATGACCACAGAAGTAGTTACCATGGCATCCGCCGCAGCAGTCTCACCCTGCACCTATCATGCACAAACTTTTAAACAGATGTACCTTCTCTTTGGAGGTATCAAAACTTACCCTGAGTGAGCCGGGTGGGCTGCTGGACAGGGAGCCCATCAATAGCACAGGCATTGCCACAAGGGTAGAGGGTGAGGGTGCCCCGCAGGTTCTCAATGTAGCAGTGCTCTGGAGCCAGGCCTGGACCCTGCAGTGTGATGTCCTTGGCTGCAGAGCCAATCACTGTTCTCCCTAAAGATAGGAGGCAAACTAAGTTAAAGGGTTTGTCCAGCCAGAGGAGGCTGAAACAGGGTAAGGAGAGCCACAATGGAAGTATACTTCTACCTCCCATTCCAGGGAGAACCACTGCTCATCACCCACCATCCCTTCTGGGCCTCTGAGCCTGATGGAAACAGTGGTAGAAGCTTTTCTCAGGCAGAGAAAACTCTGGACCAAAGATGGAAAGGCCCAGAGGGCACAGTAGGCTCCAGACTCCACAAAGAGCAAAGAAGGGGGACTGCATACCTTCCTTTAGTCCCTCTAACTCTCCTTCCTTAAGTCCTTTGTCTCCTTCATCATACTCCCTCCCCTCTCCTTCTTTCTCTCCCTGCTGTCACCTAAAACCCTTGCCCTCCCTCACTCCCTCTCCCTTCAGTGCAGCCTCTTCCCACACTGCTTCTGCATGAGCAGACCCCCCCCCTCCCCGCCCCCCCCCCCCCCCGCCCCGCAGAGCCCCTAGGACTGGTATTTGGAGAATGTGAAGAATGTAGTATCATCCAAATAACAAGTGCAACCAGGACAGAAGAGAGGAAGGGCAGAAGCTGCAAAGTGAAGGGGCTGTGCCAGGGCCTTATCTTTCTTGGGAGGTCTGTCCTCTACTTCTATCTTTCCATTCTCCACTGGTACCTTCTCCCATGCCAGCCATTGCTCTGGACTCGGGCCCCCTCTCTTCTTGGCCAGACTGGTTGCTAAGAGCAATATGTTCTCCTGTTTCAGTGCTCTCCTCTTTGTTTCTATACTGATCTTTGATCCTAGTCATGGAGCCAGATTATCTACCAAAGAGGGCAGGCAGTCTGGAGAAGCAGAGAAAAGGGAAGCAAGCTGGTGGGGTGGGGAGGCACCACCTCCCTGTTGGGGGAGGTGAACACTGCCAGCAGGTAGTAGAAGGGCTCCAATGCATGCCTGGACCCCAGGACAGGAATGTCTATAAGGACAGAGGTGTGGCAGGTGGAAAGCTCCTCGACCTACCTTCCTCCAGCGGCAGAAGGGTGATAGCTGTACTGAGTCGCCCGCTTCCCAGGCTCACTAGATGGGGTTTGTCTGTTTGCACTTTAAGTCCTTTGCCTGTCTCAATCAGGTCCAAGGGTCCTTTCTGCAGTCAGTGGAGGTAGGAGATGAGCACCATTAGAGACTCCAGACCAGCACTTCACACTCTAGTCCCAGTCACACTAGCACTCTCTCCATCAATTGCCTTCTCCAAAGGGCTCACAGGGTATGCTTAGTACAAAATCTGGCACAGAGCATTATTCCACTAAAGTGTAATTGGATCTGAATTTAGGCAACGAACTCATCCCACCAGACTTATCTCAAGTCATGGCTTAACTACCCCCTTTTGTCTATTAAAACAAAAACAAGGAGAAAGTAAGAGGAGTGGGGAGGCCCTGGGTAAGAGAAGGGGGTACTATAGATGAGGGCCAATCAAGACTTGTCCTGTAGACTTGTCTGTGGCAATCTGCTTAGCCAGTGCTTAACTATCCTTGTTAAACTAAATCACAAGCAAGGGCAGAGGCATGGATGGAGGAGAGAAATACAGCTCAGGGTCAATCTCTGAACTCTTTCTGACTTTCAAAGGGTATTTTCTGGGTAAACCAATTAACCTAATTCAGATAAGGACTTAGCTGTTAATAAGCTTGGGACATGGGAAAGGGCAGAGAAGAACTGCTGCTCTCATTCTTGGACTGGGACCATGGGTGGATAGAGGAGCTGAACTCATCACCACCAACAGCCCTCTTGCCCCATGGTCCCAGCCTAACTCACCTGCACCATTGCTTGAGTCTTGCATCCAGGGCCTATCTGGTTCCTATTCAGAGTGTCCATGGTCCTGGGTCTCTAGAGCTCCTGGGGACACAGCAGAAAGTGGGGTGAGGCAGGAAGGCCAGGGCAGAAAAGGGAAAGGGGTAGGCTTTGTGGTAGGACTCTCAGGGGAGGGGCAGCTGCAGTCATCATCATTTCCTGCATGCTTATGCTCAGGAAAGCATAAGTGGCTATGCTTATGCTCTTTTGGGGGAAGGCCCTGACACATCTTCAGCCACAGCATGGACACCACACCACACAAGTCCTGGCCCTTGCCACCATAACCACAAAAAGCTCTATAATAAGGCCCAACCTGTATTTCTGTGCTTTCTTGCCTCTGACACCGAGCACCCAGCTGAGGACCCTCGGACATCTGGAGCTGTAAGCAGGATGGGAAAAATTTACCTTAGTAGTAAAAGGTGAATCCAGGGAACCCCTCTCCAAGGACACTGGTTGCCAGGTGGGTAGCAGGGCTGAGATAAAAGCTCCCTCCCCAACCTTTCCCTTTCTTCTCCCTTTGCCTCTTTTCCCAGGGGGTCTCAGTAGAATCTTTTCTTCTTCTTCTTTTTTATAATTTTTATTGATTGACTTTATTTTTTAAGGTATTATTTATTTATTTTTAGAGAGGGGGAAGGAAGAGAGAGAAACATCGATGTGCAAGAGATATCAATCAATTGCCTCTTGCATGCTACCAGCTGGGGACCTGGACTACAACCCAGGCATGTGCCCTAACTTGGAATCGAACCAGCGACCTTTTGTTTCATAGGTCAGCACTCAATCCACTGAGCCATACCAGCCAGGGGTATTGATTGATTTTAGAGAGAGAAACAGCAATTTTTTTTGTTCCACTTAATTTATGTAATCAAAGGTTGATTCTTGTATGTGCCCCGACCTCAGATCAAACCTGAAACCTTGGTGTATTGGGACGATCATCTAATCAACTGAGCTTCCTGGCCAGGGCCAGGATCTTTTCCTAAAGGAGACATAAGAAAAACTCAACCAGAGCATTATAAACTATTTTCTGGGAGAGGGGGGAGAAAAAGAAAAATTCAACCATTCCTGCTATCTCTATGGGGCTCAACTTCTTCACTCTCTCTTCCCCAGAAAGCAATCTCACCCCTGCACAATAGGAAGGAAGGAAGGAAGGAAGGAAGGAAGGAAGGAAGGAAGGAAGGAAGGAAGGAAGGAAGGAAGAACGGAGGGAGGGAGGGAGGGAGGGAAGGAGGAAGAAAACACTCAGGGGTGACTAATACTAGGAATATAGGACTTTTGGGATCTTAACCTGATTTGGTGCTGTAGGAAGCTTAAGTCCTCAGAACAAAGGGTAAACTAGATTCCAGAGCCAGAACTTGAACTCTTCCCACCCATTTCTTTCTCCCTGGCTCACATTTTTGGTACCTGAGAAATGGGAAGAAGGGCTTTTGTATACTAATGTGTGCTTACATGCCAGTCTCTTGACCAGCTTGCTAATGTGAGAACTTCTCATTTGCTGCTGAAATGTTACCAGGGAAAGCTGAGAAAAATGCGGCTGAAGGCACGATTTCCCTACACTCTCTCTTCCAGCCACCTACCAGCTGACTTCGAGAGGAAGTTGGGGCAGGAGCCAGCATTCCAAGGAGTGTCTGACCCTGGCAGTGGGTGCCAAGGACCTTAGCCATAGAGTTACTAATTTTACCCTCCCAGCTTCCACCCTTCCAGGCCTGTACTACATCATCTCCGTCACCATTTCCACCCAAGCTGGCGGAAGAGAGGCCAGGCCAGAAAAAGGCCTGGGGCCCATCCCAAGTCTGCCTGGGAAGAGGGGTGGCAAAGGCCATTAACCTACACCAAGACCCAAGCTGGCCTAATACCTCCCCAGAACTGGCCACAGGAAAAATTTCCCAGGGACAGAGACTGATGTACTGCTTCTTTCAGCTCAGGGAAATCCCTCAGCATTCTCTGATGGAGGAGAGGCAAGAGACAGTAAGTTGAGAATTAGGAGTTTATGTAAAAGAGGGGATAAGAAAAACAAAACAACAATGGTGAAGGAAAGTCATCATCATTTAGTGTCTAACCCTGTTCTTTATTATTTATTAGCTGTGAGATCTTGGACAAGTTACTTAACTCGTTTTTGCCAGGTCATTCTCTATAAAACTGGAATAAGGATTTAAAAAACAGATTGTATGGATTTAATGCTTGCCTGGAATGGAGAGTGACAAATAAATGGGCACAAGAGTTCTTTCTTTCTTCCTTTTTTTTTTTTTTCCAATACAGGAATGTTCTAAAACTAAATTGTGATGATGGTTGCACAGCTCTGTAAATATACTAAAAATAATCGAATGTACACTTAAATTAAGTGAATCGTATGGTATATACGTTATACTTCAACGAAACTACTAGTTATTACTATGAGCTTTGTGACCTTGAATGAGTCACTTCACCTTCGCGGGCCTCAGTTTCTTCATCGGTCAAAAGTGTCACTGTCACCCAGCGAAGCAGCTGTGGGTGTGCTCACTTATTTATTCCAAAAAAAAAAAAAAAAATTTCAAGTGAGGATAGAGATTGAAAAGAGATAAGGTTGAGGGGAACAAGAGTGATTAGAGGAGAGGAGAGAAGGGAATAAAGAGATGAAAGGAGGACAGATATGGAGAGAGGTGTAGGGAGAGATAGAGAAGAGAAGAAAAGATGAACAGATCAGAAGGTGCGAGGCTGTGGCCTCAGCTCGGAAACCTAATCAGGTAAGGTGGAAAGATACACCAGAACCTGCGTACTCACGCGGTGCTTTGACAAAGGGGTTAGAGAGCCGCCAGCTGGGGGCGCCCTGTCCCCAAAACCACACCCCTGGCCTGCGGGGCGTAGCGGCGCGGCCTCCCCCGCAGGCGGACCCCCTCGGTTCGGACGCGGAAACGCATCACCCGGGGCTGGATTTACTCACTCCGCTCACCCGGCGCAATCTCCGCGGCTTTTCTGGGAAACCTCGCCCCGCCCTTTGCCCAAAAAAGCACCTTGTGGTGCGAGTCCGCCTCTTCAGCAAGACAGGCGGGACAGATGCACCGCGGTCAGCTCTGGCTCTCGGTAGCCCTCCTCGGCGCTGGGTGGCAGAGGCCTGGATTTCTGGAATTGACGTGCAACAGGGAGGGCCCGTGTGGGGTGAGGCCGGGGCGCCGGCAGGGGAACCCGCTCCGGCCTGGCCACTCCTGTCTCCTTTCCCTGCGGAATGAATAGCCCCACCGGGTCCCCAGCCATCTCCGCCGACTGGGGCATCCAAAGTTACCGCTCGAGGGTCTCGGCTCCCGAACGAGGGTGGAAGGAGGCCCGGGAAAGGCCCTTACAAGGTCTGGAACCAACAGGCACTGGGGAAGGTTCAGGCTCCAAACCGGGCCGCAGATGTAAGGCCCTCCCCGGTGCCCCAGCCAGTTCTGGGCTCTGGCTAAGTGTAAGGAAGGGTTCCTCAGTCTCCCCAGGGCCACTGCGGGGCCTCTCCGCCCTCACCTGTGGCCCGGAGGCCCGCTGAAGCCTCGCCCCGGGCGTCACACGGCTGCGGCCCGCCGCCTTCCCCGCCTTCTCAGCACACATCCGCCCTCAAGGAAGGGCTACCAACAGAGGAAGGAGTCGGGAATAGAAGGAAACTGAGGCTAGGAGCTCAGAGGACGGGTCGCAGGAGCAGGGCGGGGGCCCAGAGGGGATGTGGAAAGGCCTGGGACGGACCGAAATGATGGATGAGGAAAGTGAGGGGTCTGTGAAAGGATGGGGCGAGGAGGGGAAGAGAAGGTATCTGGAGGGAAAATGGAAGCGGAGACTGAGGGATGAGGTAAAAAGAAAGCTGGGGAGGAGGGGAAGAAGAAGGGGCGACTGAGGACAGAAGGGTCCTCGAGGATCTGGGAAGCAGCAGACGGCACCGAAGGCGGTGGAGGCGACCTGGGGTCGGACCCAGGGAGCTGAAGGCAGAGGAGGCTGAGGGCAGCCAGTGTTCCCGCAGTGGGATAGCGAGGGCAGGCGATCCAGCTGAGAGGACGTGGAGCCGGAGACAGAGGCGTGAGCGTAGTTAGGACTCCGATTTTTATTCTGGTGGGGGTGGGAGTGGGAGTGGAGGCGGGGCGGGAAAGTGCACGTCTCGCAGTCGAGGACTGAGCGGGGTATTAGCCAGGTGGGACAAGGCCGCAGTGTTTGGCCGCCCCGCCCGCCGCTGCCTCCGGACAAGCGGCCTTTCTTTGGCAGACCGGGTAGAAGGAGCCGCTTGTTTGCGCCGCGGGAGAAACGAGTGGCCCCACAGACACCGCCCGCTCCCTGCGGAGCAGCTGCGGGCAGGGGCCTGCGGGTGTAGCGGTGGTGTGTGTGTGTCGATGGGGAACTACGCGTGTGAGGGAGGTGTGTGTATGAGGAGCTGCGTGTGTAAAGGAGTTGCTGGTGTGACTGTGAGTGGGGTAGAGGCCGCGTGTGAGTGGTAAGTGTGTGAGCGCGGGAGCAGCAGGTGCTGCGGAATGCGCTGGGTACAAGATGTGTAGAGCGTGTGCTGAGTTCTGGGTGTGTGTAAGGAAGGGTTCCTCACAAGTCAGGGCGACGAGACTGGGGGCGGGTGGCATGTGCGTGGGTGATGCAGGCTTGGCGCTGTGCCTCTCGGCTGTGTGGGACATCTGACATGGTGGGGAGCTGTGTTTGTTTGTGACCGGGGCGATGAGTCAGCCTCCGGGACCGCTGAGCTAACGGGTCCAGAATGCAGCCCCGCCCCGGCGTCCCGGGTACCCGCTGGCCCTGCGGTCTCCCCGCCAAGCCCCCGCTCACGACCGCCTGGGGAGAAACATCAGCCTGCTCCTCGCGACCCAGCGCCGAGAGGCCCCTCCCAGCACTCCGTCTCCCCGCCCGACCGTCCGCCCGCACTGCGCGCTGAGGGAGAAGCCCGGAAGACCTGGCTCAAGCCGCGCTCCAGGAAACTCAAGGGATTCCAATACTGACCGCGCGCGCCGGGCAAGGGGCTGAGACTCGCTCTCCGGGGCAATCCCTCCGGCCTCCCGAAAGCCGAAAGACGTGGGGCCTCGGAGAAGGGGCTTGGAAGTACCAGATACTCTCAAGAGTCCCTCCCAGACACCCATGCCTCCGAGTCCAGCTACGCATCCCTTCCTGGTCCATCAAGGCGGCCGGTCCCGGGACGGAAGCAGAGATTTCCCAGAGCTTCCCGGCAGCCCCCACCCCGCGCCACGTCGCGTACAGAGTTCTCAGTCCTGCCATTGGCAAGAGACAGGAAGCTCGGGGTTCAGGCAGAACGGACCCCGCGAGTGTCCAGCAGTTCGTCTAGGTGCCCGCAGGAGAGTCTTGATGGGGTAGCATCAGCCCCCTACCCGGGGGAGAGCGCAAGGGCTCCCTCTGGCGGCGGCGGGGCGGGAGGGGGGCGGGAGGGGGGCGGGAGGCAAAGGCAGGCAGCTCGCGGGAGAGGAGCTGAGCCCACTCCCCGCAAGTCCCTTTCGTCCGCGGGCACTCAACTGGGGCACCCCCTCCTCCCCCATGGGTTTCTTCCGGGATCCCTAGCCCAGAGCTTATCTGAGGGCTCTCGCCAGGCTCGGAACTTCCCCCCATCCAGTCCCAGCCCCGCAGCAAACAGGACCCGCATGCATAGAGGGAAGGATTATTCTTACCTTGGGGGAGAAGGGGACACGAATACCCTAGTCTGGCTAGGCTGCCGCGGCCTCAGATTCAGGACACTGTTGCTTTTCCCTGGGAGCCCGCTGAGTAGGTGGAGAGAGAGCGGATCCCGCCCCAGCTAGTCCCCGCCCCTGTTCCTTGTCCCGCGTCCGGTCTGCCAGGCCAGCCAGAGAAGACGCCCTTGTGCGGCTAGAGCCCAAGGTCCAACCCCCTTTCCCATAGCAGCACTCCTTCCCTCCCCCCCCACCCTTCCCCGAACACGAACACACACACACACACACACACACACACACACACACACACACACACACACACACACACACACACAGAGCCAACACAGCGACCGCTTTGTTTCCCTCTACAGCTGGGCTCTCTACTACCGCCGCCACACGCACACCCCTTCTCCCCTCCCCCTCTTCCTCCCTTTCGGACTCTTAGACCACCCTCCGCTCCTAGGCTTTAAGGCTCCCCTCCTCCTCTTCCTTCTCCTCCTAGATTTTATTTTATTTTGAGAGAGAGGGGAAAGGAGGGAGAAAGAGAAACACCGATGGGTTGCCTCCTGTACGCGCCCCAGCAGGTTCCGAACCCACAACCCAGGCATGTGCCCTAACTGAGAATCGAACAAGCGACGCTTCGCTTTGCCCAACCCTGCCCAACCAACAGAGCCACACAGGCTAGGGCTTTAAGGCTCTTCTGAGAAGTTTTTGACATTTTTTCTGTCTCTCTATCTCTCTACCAGCGCCTCCCACCCCCATCTTTTAACTTTAGATGCCTGAATCCTCCGTTGGCTCCCAGTGAACCTCACAGTCACAGCGCTCCAACATACTCAATATTCCCTCCAGAACATTTGCTGCGGGTACCCAGGTCGGCCCCTGTCACTCTTTCTCACCCTCTTCCAAGCCCCACCACGATGACCTGTATATATGAGGTTGATAACCCTGCACATCAGGCTTCACAGATTTTTCTAAGGATAGGTATAAGAAGACGTTAAAGTGCCATGCAAATTGTAAAACACAAGAAAGCTCCTTGTAGCTCCACCCCCACCCCAACCTGCTAGATTACAATTGGAGGGCAAGCTGTAGAAACACTGTTGAGCACACTCTTTTATAGCAGCAGTTCCGTTTTCTGTAGGAGTAGGGGGTTAATAAGGAAGGAAAAGGGGAGGGGACTAAAAACCTAAGAGGAGCTTAGAAATAGCCTGGTTGAAGTCATTCTTCATCTCAACCCCTGCCCGGAAATCCTACACTGACAGTGGATCCTTACCTTGCAAAGCCAGCTCTTGCCCCAGGAGACTGATTGGGGAGGCCCTAGGGAGCTGAATTCAGCTAGGCTGAACCCCTTTAACGTGCACTGGAGGGACTCCAGAGACTCGCACTGAAGGAGGAGCAGGAAGACCCCAAGCAGGGGCAGATAGAAAATAACTCATTCTCTATGGAATGGACAAATCTTGTTCAGATTCGGTGACTTTAGTTTGTGCCCTCTCTACCTAATCCAGAAACAGCAGGAGGCTGAACTGCAGGAATCTTTGGTCACTTATTGACAGGGCTAGCATTAGAAGGGGTGCCCCCATGCTGCAGGCTGGAGCTCATCAGAGCCAGGTACTGTACACGAAGCGGGAGGGGAAGGACGACCTTCCAAGCTACCTGCTATGGCTAACAGATCAGGCCTGCACGCGGTGTTCCAGGAAGCCCTAGGATATGAGGGGATGATGGGGAGCCTCTTATCCTTCCTGTCTTCATACTGTTTGAGCCTTGTGAAAGTATTTTGACTCTGGCCACCTTGCATGAGGCAGATCACAACTTGTAATTTTCAGGGGTTCTGGTGAAAGAAAAAGAAAAAACCAAAACTGTTGTATCCTATATGCCAAGATCCATCATTTGAAGGAAGGAGATCAGATTGGGGTACCTCAGAGACTTTTCTTAACTCACAACTCCCAGCTCTTCTTTACAGTTTTGGTCTGGAGGAATTTCTGGGAATCAAGCCTGCCACAGAGGTAACTAATGCTGGGGCAGGGAATTGAAATAGCACTCAACTTTTCTGTCCTCCCAGCCCAGGGACCAGATGACCCCATGCTAAAAGGTTTGTGCAATGTGTCCTAGCTCCTGCTGCATCAAGGCCCTATGTTTCGTTAGAGCACTCAGGGGACTACAGATCTACCGCCCTCACAGTCCACCCCCACCCTGCTCCACATCTGGAATGCATCAAACACTCAGTGCTCTCAGTTATGCAAGAGGTCCAGCAGTTGGGAGCTCAGGAAAGGGGGAGGAAAACAGCTTTCCAGCATGCTTCAGACTTTCCGAAGTGGAAGCAGGGGGAGAGGGCAAAGGCTGGGTGTGGAAGGAAGAGTGGATCTTTTTTAAGCCTTCTGCACTTGGTTAGGAATGTCAGCCGATTTCTACACCACTCCTGCCTTTGCCTAGGCACATTTTCCACCTCTCACACTGTACTCCTTCCGGCTCCAGAAAGGTGACAATTGTTCATTACAGCAAATAATCCCTATAGATACACACCCAATCTAGAAAACTATTTTTTCTGGCCTCTTTGGATCCGGAACTCAGGCACCATTTGTGTAGGTGTGGTGGCAGCAATGAAGCCAAGTAACTCCTTACTGCAACCAGCTTGGGGAAAAAAAATTCAAACCTTTCTTTAGCAGCTGCAAAGGAGCAGAAGCTCTTTCTTCAGCTTGTCTTTGGAATTGCACAACCTGTATTTCCACCCAAAGATACACGTAAACTGAGTGGGAAATTTGGGTATGACAGAAAACTGGTCTTGTCTGTCTCCAGCTCAGGACCTTCCTAATAAGCTGAAAAGAACAAGCATTCATTCATTTGGGCAAAAGAATGGGCAACAAGACCTATTTCCATTTCTCTCATTCTGTTGAATTTATAATGCCCTTTGGTAATCAACCTTATTGTATGGTGTGCACCTATGGGAGCTTCCCATAAAGACTAGGACCTAATAACCACTTAGCCCCTGCCTAAGAACAAAGCAAAAAACTTTTCCTTTTTGGTGAGGGGTGGTAGTAGTGAGAAGTGGTGAGAAGTAACCCAAAGCTTCTAAAAACTGCCTGATTGCTAGACCCCTTGGTGTTTGAGAGAGGGGCAACAGATTTGAAACGTAGTTTTTTCCCTAAAGGCTTGCTTGTCTCCACATCAATTAACTCCCCAGGGTAAAATGAATTGACACTTGCAGAGATGCCATCTGCCCTTGGATGAGTGCAATGCATAGCAATCGAACTATTTATGGATCTTCTAGATTAAAAGCTCTACAGCTGCAAATATATTTACAAAACGGGCAAGAGGAAATGGAGGGAGCAAATAGTTGCAATAAGGTACGTGCATAGTAAAGGGGAAGTCAATTCTGAGTTTTTGCTTTCCTTTAAAGCCTACAGGGGTGTCCAACCTGTTGGCATCTCTGCGCCACTCTGGAAGAAGAGTTGTCTTGGGCCACACATTAAATACATTGCAACACATAACCACAAAAAAACCCTGATGTTTTAATTTACAATTTTATGTTGGGACGCATTTACAGCCATACTGGGCCACATGCAGCCCATGGGCCACAGGTTGGATATGCCTGCAAGACATAAGCCCTATTCCTCATCCTCATTGAGACCCATATTGAATGTAACTATAGCTAGTTATTTATCTATTTAGAAAGAAAAGGCTTTGTAAGTAGGCACAGCAATTGCTTTTAGTTACTTTGTAACTTCCTTGAGAATGGCAGCTTTTTCTACTTTTCTCCTACCTTCCCCCAAGCCCTGCAAGACGTGAACTTTTAAGAAAGACTTGCTCTATATCGCAACCCTCAAAATCTCTCAGATCCTACCCACTGTGAACAATTTTAAGTTAATGGATGGCAGTTTCCTGTGAGACGCACAGGTCAATAGATGTTGGGTTAATACTGTGAGTAGTTGAATGGACAGATCTTTTTAAAAAGGAACTCCTGACCACAGAAGAGGTGTGCTCCCTACCTCCTCTATGTGAATTAATTAAACCAGAGGAGGAACTACCAACCTGTTTCATTAACAGCATGCTCATAATCATATCCAATTATTTTGTTATTCTCCCTTACAGGAGGTCAACAGAAAGTCCACATATGCCGTGGAGGAATTAGCTGCCAGTCAGGGAATGGCATGGCTTTGGTATGATTCATTTCATTGGAGTAAAGTGAGCTAAGCCACATGTCAGCAACATCAGACCAAATACTTTCTACAGGAAAAATATTCAAAATCTTGGCTTTCACCATTAAAATAAAAACTTCTCATTCCCACTTACTGTTGATGTTCAGTAGTTTTTCAAGTTAAATCAAGTGAAAAAGCCTTTTCTGGGAAAATCACCAATTCCCAAGGCACTCATCACTCATCCCTGGATAACTTACTTCTTACCCTGTTTGTCTAATGAGGAAGAGAATGCTTCAATATATTACAAACCTTTATTATTCTTTAAAGATGAAGCCTTAATTTTCTGACTCAACGACTGCCCCTGACAAAATTAAGACCAAAAGTCCATGAGTGGCATTAAATTCAAAAGCAACTCTGTGACAGTGCATATGTACATGTATGCTCAAATGTAGAAAAATATACAAAGAGACAACACTTATAACAGTAAAAGGCAATGAAACTCTACAAGAGAGATTATTTTCTCTTAAAAAAAAATCATTCAATTTTTAATCTTAGAACCCATTACATTATCCTGAATCAGCAAGCAGACACCAAAGTATGAGGCAAGAGTCTAATAAACATTCATTTTATGATATTCTTTATTGGATTAAAGAATTTGCCTTCTTTGTGTACACTGGAATGTTATATTCCCTATGTATTTTACAGGGTTACAAAACATCTCTCATTTTAAATATTACCCCAAAAGTAATTTCAGAAAAAGAAGTTTTTGTAAAACTAAACTTGACTTTAAAAAAAATCATATGGACAAGCAACTCTCAAATAAAACTGGATTAATAAGATTTCTTGCCTATTTAACTACATGACAGATTTTTCATCCCAGTCCCCTTCCACACACACACACACACACACCCACACACCCCCCCCCCCCCCCACACACACCCACCCCCAATTTGGAAACCAAGACAGAGATAACGATTCTTCCCTGATGCAATTAAGGAGAAGGGAAAGGCCAGAAATTTCTTTGGCAAACAATTCTATCCATGACCATTTGTGTTACTGCTTTGCTTCAAGTACAGTGTACTTTTCGCAGGGAAGACCAATGTTGTTTAGTGTGGGAGTGGTACTCTCCAACATGTTGACAGTGCAGAAGTCATTTATAGTCATCTGCCTCTTCCCCTGCTTGTGCTTGCAGCCTGATGGCAACTCCACAAACCTTTGAGTGCAATACTGGGTTAAAAGCCAGTGATGAGCTGGCTGGTGTAGTCTTTTCAATGAAAAAAGTAATGGATGAGATGGGGTTAAGAAATAACTACTACATGATGACACTCAATAGGAAAGACTTGGGGGAGGAAAAGGAAGGATTTCAGAGACAGGGACTGATAGGCTGGTGAAAAAATGCTGGGGGGACTAGAAGGAAATGGGAGTATACATCAGCAATCTAATACATACCAATATAATTACTTGCCTCTTGAAATCCTAAAAACCTGGTGGTGTAAACAGAGTCTCCTTGATAGTTCAGGGCCAATGGGATTGGCACAAGGACTCAGTGAACCCAGAGCCTCCAAAATCATAACCTCGTCTCTGCTAGGAAAAAAAGGACTGATGACAACAGCCAGAAAGAGAGAGAGGTGATGAATCTGAGGAATATGAATGGATTACAAAGACCATGAACTATTATGTATTAGCTAAAGTACGCAAAATGTGGAGCAAAGGAAGCCTAGGTAGCAACAGTAGCAGACACGATTACCTGTAGCAGAAACAATGTGAAATCTGTACCTGGACATAATCATTCTCCTCCTGGACACTGAAGTGGGGACTGTGCAATTTGAAAGCTGTTTCTCAGCTGTCTTTAATATTCACAGTACTGTTCTAAACTGGAGGGACCAGACTAAAAGGAAAACCACCTGGCACAGGAGTAGAGGAATCAATGGATATAGGAAAAGGAAATGAGGCATCCTTATCTTTTAACTTCTAGACTCCAAACTTTAAGCAAATTAACTTGTATATCTAAAAATCAAGACTGGACTAGATCAACTTGTTCTAGGAGTACCAAATAAATATAACACCTATATACAGATAATCCAAGTGCTAGAGTATATAGAAAGAAAAAAAATGCAGGTAAAGAAAAGAAGTATGAAACATTAAAATCTTCTGCAGAGTTAACTTTTAAAAAACAAAGTAAGTATGAAATATAACTATATTTAGGGATTAAAATAAAGAAGCAACTTAGGCAAAGGCTAAGAAAGTGTTTAACTGGGGGCATTCTCTGAAGAGCTTGCTTTCCTGCTGGCCCGTAAAATATGCCAAAGAAATCAGCAGCCTTTCCCTTTATGTTTGTGTCATTTCTTTGCCAAGGAATGTCCCTGTGACTTGAAACACTGAGGGTGAGTTGAGGGTCCTTGCGCGCCCAGAATCGTGCATTATACTAGGGAAAAAAAAAGGTCTTCAATGGCTTGTAGGTTTGAGAAAAAAATTCTTCAGCCACTGTTGGCTTCTTCTTTATTAGTTTGAAAGTTTTCCTTTTCAGTTCCCTCCTCTTCGTATTACAGGATTTCATACTTATCTACTAGGAAAGTGGTCTCGGTGGAAAACCTTACTGGACTGTTCCCATCTACCTGGGTCACTTTGGTTACCTAGAAAAAGAAACAAAGAGTAAGGTAAAGCAAAAGGAGAGTGCGTCTCCAAGGTGCTAACTAAATTCTCAGTATACAACAGATCAAATTTCCTAAAAGCAGTATTAAAAGTCAGTCAGAAATGATTAAAAAAAAAAAAAAAAATTCCAATCCACGCCCTGACCAGTGTGGCTCAGTTAATTGGGTGTCATCCTGCAAAGCAAAAGGTCACCAGTTCAACTCCCCTGGTTGGGGCATGTACGGGAAGCAACCAATTGATATTTCTCTCTCATATTGATGTTTCTCTCCTTCTCCCCCGCCCCCGCCCTCTCTCTAAAAATAAATAAATAAAATCTTTTCTTAAAAAAGTTCAATTCACAACTGCAGCTAACAGTATCACTCCTCTCCATCAACATAATATACCAGCTTTCTAGATAGAAAAGACAACTGTTGGGATTAGATGTAGAATGGTATTAAGTAAAAGGTCCAGAATGAATGGCCAAATGCCCAGGCCTTGTTATATAAAACCTAAGATGTTCACAGACATTCTACCAGGATGATCAATTAACATTTTGACCCAAAATACAGTATTCTAACTCTTCAAAATTATTTGTCTGATTTGCTTTCAAAGTCTTACTAAGCTGCTCTATCATACTTAACTTTCTAGATCTACCTGGGTCCTTCTAACGAGATCTTGTCTTTTCCTTTTAATAATAAAAAATGTATAGTTGAATGAATTACCCGTAACAATGATGACTATTATGGCACCAACAAAATACTTGAACAATTGATTTCTATTTTCTATTGAGATTTTGAGAGAGCAAGTATACTACCTACTCTTCAAATGGTCCCGAACAGGAAAATGTACCCATTTCTATCTTACGTCGTGGGTTCAACAATGTGTGCTCCCAATACTGATGGGTTTATGCCAATAACTCAGACGAGAGAGAGAGAGAGAGAGAGAGAGAGAGAGAGAGAGAGAGAGAGAGAGAGAGAAAACACGCGCGAGAGCGCATGCGAGGACTGCACTCTGGAAGCATCCAACAGAGGAAATTATTATTTCCCAAGCTCTTACAGGAGGGCAGAGACCATCTAACAAAATAAGATAGTGACAGAATAATAAGAAAATCAACAAGTCAGAGGGGAACATGACTATATAAACTGGGTCCTTTTAAAGCAAATTAAAAAAAGTGTAGGAACAATGAATTAAAAGCAAGGTAGAGTTCACAAATTTGTATGCTTTGCCTACCTAAAGGACAAGATTTGTAACATAATTGGCTCATGTTTATCTGTACTTACATTTTCTTTTTTTTTTTTTTCCAAAATATTTTAGCCCTGGCTGGTGTTTTAGCTCAGTGGACTGAGTGCCGGCCAGTGATCCAAAGGGTTGCTGATTTGATTCCCAGTCAGGGCACATGCCTGGGTTGTGGGCCACGTCCCCATGGGGGAGGGCGGGAGGGATGCGTGAGAGGCAACCACACACTGATGTTTGTCTCCCTCTCTTCCTCCCTCCCCTCTCTAAAAATAAATAAAATCTGTAAGTAAAAAAAAAAAAAAAAAAAAAAAAGGTATACCTGTATGTTACAGTAATTTTTTTTGGAGATGAAGGAGACTTGAACAGGAAAGAAATCATTCGGCTGCCCGGCAATGCTGAACTCAAGGCTGCCACTCTTATTTTTGGCATCAATCACTGGCAGGCACCACTCCAATGTATTTCGTCGACTGTCATGTCGATATTCACCATCGATCTCACCAATCACTGGTGCACCAACACCAGACCTGTCATGAGAAACATCCACGTCAAGTTAGTTGTTCAGAGCTGGAAGAACTCTGCCAAGGAAAACCAGCCTCAAATTTTAATATGCTCTTCAAATCCTGCCCACTTTTACATAGTCCTAGGAAAATTAGGCTCCCTAATAAGGATCATAGTCCTAGCACCTTGGCTAAGGGTCTCACTCATTCCTTTTTTAGATACAAATATATGCAACCATAAGTAACTGGCAAATATGCCTGTGGGCTGTTCCAACATGCGGACTAGATCTGGAGCTAGCAGGGGACTGAGGCTGATAAATGTGTGAAGTGGGATATATTTTTAAAAATCTGAACCAATGGTTTGTTGCTGTGTCAAGATGGAATTTTAATATAATGCAGCTCTCTTTACAGGTGACAATGGGGAATAAAACAGACTGATAGTAGCAGAGGGAAACTTTAAACCCATTATGTAGTTATTTAGAATGGAATGAATTTGAGCCTTTGAGAGAATGTTTTCAAAGACTTCAGAATGTTTCAAAACATACTGTAGTTGAAGCCAGTGGATTTGATTTACAATCCAGTAAGTGAACTTTGGTTGATAAGTGAAAGCACAATTACCCCCCGACAACATGCAAACATGATGGGAGAAAAAGATACACAGTTGTCTGTAATCTGCAAAACAACTAGTTAGAATGTACTTCGCATTCCCACACATGGCTGACAGGCAGTGTCACCTATTCCCATATATTCTAAGCTTACCATCTTTTAACTCACCAGTGACAATGCAAAGCTTGTATTAGGGGCAGGGTAAATAATGGAGACAAAGAAAACTTTAAGGTTGATACAACACAATTAACTCTACCCTATCAATTTTATGTCCCCAGTTGTATTTAGGTTCTTTTTGCTCTGTTCCAATTCTGATTCTGATTTCTAATTTGATCAGTTTTAGACAATAGGATAAAATGTTGTCTAAATGTTCAATAGTCTGGAGACTACTTACAAGTTGAACTAAGGCACAGGAACCACCATTGCCACAATTATAGGGTAGATGGAGTAGCCTAAACATAATCTAGTAAAGTATGTCCTGCCTGACGAACAAGCCCGAGACCTATAATGGTTCACAGCAGCCACCTACTGTTCCGAAAGAAGCAGCAGTTGTGAAGAATAAGACAGTTCCCCGTTAAAGAGGGTAATGGTAATAAAGCCTATTTTTAAAAATGGAAATAAGAATGACTAAAACCAGACCTCATCATGTAAAGGTCTAAATTATCAAAAAGGGAATTTAAAAATTAAATTAGTTCCATTTTCTCTGCAATAATAACAAAGCAATAGAGCAGTAAAGATACACTAAAAATACACTTACTGGGTATTCATGGGGGATGGGAGGCTGAGAGATAAAGGACAGGAACTGGGATTCGTTGGTAAAGTAATAACAGTGTAAACTCACTAGAAACGCTTGTGAGGAGATTAAATTTAAAGTAGTGATTATTTCCAAATGAACCCAGAAAGGGGGCCATTTAAACACACAAGACCCTGGCTGGTGTTGGCTCAGTGGCTTGAGCGCTGGTTTGCAAACCAAAGGGTTCCCAGTTCAATTTCCAGTCAGGACACATGCCTGGGTTGCAGGTCAGGTCCCCAGTTGGGGGCATGCGAGAAGCAACCAGCAGATGTTCTCTCACACATTGATGTTTCTCTCCCTCCACTCCCTTCTCTCTAAAAATAAGTAAATAAAATCTTTCAAATTGTGCATTTTGTCAAGTTTCGACATGTATATACCTCTGTGAAACTATCACCACAATTAAGCTAACAAAAAATGTCCATTGCCCACAGAAGTTTTTCCCATGTGCATAGATTTATTTATTTATATTTAGAGAGCTGGGAAGGGAGGCAGAAAGAGAGGCAGAGAAACATCGATGTGTGAGAGAAACACCAATCGCTTGCCTATCATAGGCACCCCAAATGGGGACCGAACCTGCAACCCAGGCATGCATCCTAACCTGAATCAAACCTGTGACCTTTTGCTTTGCAGGACATTGCCCAATCAACTGAGCCATACCGGTCAGGGCAAAAATTGTAAGATTTAAATGTGTAGTGTACTGCATGTTAATCATACCTCAATAAAGCGGTAAGAAAATTTACTGAAACTAATGTAGATATCCTTTGTCTGCAAGAATCAGTAATTCCATTGAAAAATTTAGTTGAAAGTTTAAAGAGCAAAATGAAAAAGAAAAAAATTCATTCCAACAGACTTAATTTCGTAAATTGTAAAACAAAACAGAAAGTGAGCAGTGGCTCCTCCTTCTGGAGATCTATATTCATTACTACATGAACACACAGGACCAACATCTGAAAATAGCTCTACAATCTGGTTTTAAGTCAGTAAACTACATCCTCCTTTTGAAGTGCAGCTCAACGCATTTTGACAAATGTATGTAATTTTATAAGCACCATCACATTAAAGTCATAGAACATTTTCATCATCTCCAATAGTTCCCCTGTGCCTCTTTGCACTTTGCAATCAAATACTTTCTTCTTAAAAAGTCTTCTTTTCTGCTTCCTGATTTCTGTCCCAAGAATATTAAGAGTACTACATTTTGTAAATGTCATATAAGTGAAATCATATAGCATGTAGCCTTTTGTACCTGGCTTCTTTCACAACTGGTCTTTTTAAGAAATAAATATCTTAGCCCTGATTGGTGTGGCTCAGTGGATTGAGTGCCGGCCTGTGAATCAAAGGGTCACGGGTTAGATTCCCAGTTTTTCCCAGTCAGGGTACATGCCTGGGTTGCAGGCCAGGTCCCCAGTAGGGGGCACATGAGAAGCAACTACACACTGATGTTTCTCTCTCTTTCTCCTCCCTCCCCTCATCTAAACAAACAAACAAACAAACTTTAAAGAAGTAAATATCTTAGACTGAATAGCCAGCTAACTGATGCCTCCAAAACAAGTTCCAAAATACTAGGTCTCTAAACCTAATATAGAAAAATGATTACGCAGGAGACACCACTTACGGGAGTGGGATGGTAATAACCACATCATTCAGTTCTAAATTATCTTCTTGTAGCTCATATTCTATGTTGACATCACAGCCATTTCCACTCTCTGAGGGCCAGCAATTAACTAAGGAGAAAGCAAAGCAGGCATACCAGAACATTAGAAAGAGAAAAGTTAAGAGGGCAAATCAAAGTTGACAACTGTGGACCTTTTGTAAATATCCTAATGTAAATTATTATAAATAAGTTTCAACATTAAAGCTATTAAAAATAAAGCTTTAAAATACACAAAATGCAGCAGGTCATTTTCTCAAAAAGAATTTTGTTGTGGCAATGAAGACAAAAGTGTATAAGCCAGGATTATCCAGTTCTCAGTGTAATCTTAGTGGGACTGATTGGAAGCACTTACTTGTCAGTGGAATAAAAGATTCTTCTGTAGTTTGTAGTCTCCACTTTAGCACCCCTACATCACTGTTGACTGGAAATGACTTCTCTGGATTTTTCAAGCCAATTAGAGATTCTGCAGTGAAAAGTTTTTTATCTACATTTGGATGGGTCTGAAATGAAAAGGGAAAGAAAGCTTCTGAGGCTTAAACATCAGACAGGAAATAAATTCCCTCTGGTCTTCCATAGCCCACAATCAAAACATCTCAAATATGGTACCTAAAAAATTCCAATTCTTTATTTTGAAGAGAGATTTCCTTTCTTTAAAGATTTTAAAATATTTTAAAAAGTAAAAAAAAGTGATTTAACTCTAAGTCATTTTATTTGTAATTGATCAAGTTAATTTTCTAATTAAGGAAGTTAAATAGCTTTAACCAACTCTTTTAGAAAAATACTTCATAAGGAGCAGCCTCCTGGTGAAGTCAAGCTTGCCAACTAAAAGAGGAGGCTCACACAGTGATCAGCTGCCTGAGCCAGATAGCAGTACTAAAGTTGTTCAAACTCAGGCCAAGTAAGATGAGATAATCTTTTTTTTTAAATTGATTTCTAGAGAAAGAGACAGGCAGAAACAGCGATTTGTTTCACCCATTTACACGTTCATTGATTCCTATATGTGCCCGGACTGGGGATTGAACCCACAACCTTGGCATATCCAGACAACTCTCTAACCATCTGAGCTAACAAGTGAGGGCCTTAATCTTTTAAAAAGAAGTTATATTAGGAGAAAAGAAAAAGAAATAACTTTTAGATAATAGCCTACCTAAGAGGTTTGTCCAGAAAAAGTACAGCCATTGTTAATATAACAAGAATCGTTTGCACAACATCAATGTAATCTGGCAGCCAAGGAGAGTGGACTGGAATGCTCACATGTGAATAATGATGACTTCACTACACTAGTCAATGGGGGCGGTAGATGCCCTTGAGTGAGCATGTGTATTGTGTGGCTGTCGCATTCAAAATGACTGACTGAATACAGCAATAAATCTGCATCAAATTTTGTGTTAAGTATGAACATTCCTCCGTGGAAACTATTCAGATGATTCAGAAGGCTGTGGCTATGGGCAACTAGTGATTGGAAGCTTCATCACAAGCACCTGCTCATGTATCATGTCTTATACAGAATTTTTTTGCAAAACCTCCAATCACCCAGGTGACTCAGCTCCCTTACTGCCCAGATTTGGTGCCCTGCAACTTCTGGCTTGTCCCAAAACTAAAATCACTTTTGAAAGGGAAGAAATTTCAGATATTTGATGAGATTCAGGAAAATATGACGGGGCAGCTGATGGCAATTGGGAGAACTGTGTGAGAGAATAAGGCGCCTACTTTGAAGGGGACTGAGGTGTCATTGTCCTATGTACAATGTTTCTTGTATCTTCAATAAATGTCTCTATTTTTCAAATTACATGGTGGGATACCTTCTGGACAGACTTCATGTACTTTAACAGCCAGCAAAGCTGGTGTCATATAATAAAAGCACTACTTCCAGAAGACCAATTTGTGCTGATTATGGGAGGAAAATAAAGTGGACAAAAATACATTCTTCCCTGAAAAGGCTTTGTTCCTGTGATAAGAGACATAAAATCAATCATCTAAATGAAATGTGACAAGAACAACTGTAATAAATAAAGAACATCTCATACATATTCAGGCAGATAGAACAATACACATTTATTTCGTAAGAATTTTATGTGCTTTCCAAATATACCATTAAATACTACCCTTCAGATAACAAAACAAGCACTGGTAGTTTATACAGTGGCAGATTTGGTTTCATAGCCTGTTTTTTTTAAGTATTTTATTTAATCTTTGATTTGAGAGAGATAGGAAGGAGGGAGAGAGGGAGAGAAACATCGCTTGGTTGTCTTCTGTACACGCCCCAGGGGATCGAACCTGCAACCCAGGCAGGTGACTGGGAATTGAACCAGCCACCTTTCAGTTCCACAGGATCATGTCCTACCAGCTGAGCCACACCAGCCAGGGCTATAACCTTAAAACAGGTTAGCATAAAATACTTCCTTCCCTGGCTGATGTGGCTCAATAGGACGGGCATCGTACTGCAAACCAAAAAGTCAATGGTTCGATACCCAGTCAGGACACATGCTGGGTTGTGGGCCAGGTCTCTGGTTAGGGGCGTGTGAGAGTCAACTGATCAATGTTTCTCTGGCACATCAATGTTTTCTCTTCCTTCTTCTCTCCCTCCCTTCCCCACTCCCTCCCTTCCCTCCTCTCTAAAAATAAATAAAATCTTTCAAAAAATAAAAACAAAATATTTTATTATTAAGCTTAAAATCTGTTTTTCTAAAAACTGTAATTCTAGCAATGGATTCCTAAATGAATTCTTTTTACTCTTTACATAACGACAACTGATAGGTATTTCTCTGCAACTTTGTGAGTATAAAATCATTTATTAAATTTTAAAATGACTTTCCATTCAATTCCAATATTAAAAGGCCATTTTATACAGCTGCTGCCTATCTCTCTCTGGCTTCAGAAGAGATTTACTGCCTCAAGACATCCACTGTATACAATATATTACTTTCCTATGCATCTAGAATGGCATTAGTTACAGAACTTTAATAATTTTCTCTGTTCTGTGATTTATATGAGGAACTCCAGTGGGGAAGACTATGTTAGGTAGACAAACAAAACTCTTTTCCTCCTCCCTCTCTCTCTTTCTTTCATTTTGAGAGTATGTTTATTAAAGTTGGGGATAGTGAAAAAGGGCTCAGGATACAAGAAACAACAGGAGAGAGCCTAGCTGGGGCTGCTTTGGCTCACTGAAAAGGCAGAGAAGCCCTGGCTGATGTGATTGAGCACCAGCCTGTGAATCAAAAGGTTGTGGGCTCTATTCCCAGTCAGGGCACATGCCTGGTTCAGGCCAGGGCCCCATTTGGGGGATTGCAAAAGGCAAATGATCAATGTTTCTCTCACACTGTGATGTTTCTCTCCTTCCCTTTCCCTCTCTCTAAAAATAAATAAAATCTAACAAAAAAAAGGGTCCAAGAAAAGGGGGTTTTGGGGACAGAATCAAGGAGTAAGCCCAGGATGAACTGCTGCTCCCCTGGTCACAAGTCTTGTGGGGATCCTTAGAGTTGAAAAGATGCACGCCTGAGAGGGAAGAAAGATGTGGGTGTGCTCCCAGCAGGGGGAGCGGACAAACGAAGTCTCTACAAACCTGCAGCTGCACTCCTTTCTTATCTTCATTTTCCACATGAAGACGAATTCGGCCAAATTTATCATCTGAGATCCTCAGCATAATCATGCCATGCAACTCCATATTCTGTAGCCCTCCATCTCGGCCACAGGTCAGTGTGATTTTCTCCTCAACCTTCATGTGCACACTGTAAAGAAAAAGCAATACATTTGTTCAGAAGGATAGAAACCAAAACTCTACTTCTCCAGGGTTTAATGGTAATTACCCATCTACAACTTAAGATGCTCCTGCTATACAGGGTGGACAAAAAAATAGGTTTACAGTTTTGAGTGTGTGAAAGTTTATTATTGTATTATTATTTATTAATTACTGTATTATTTTCCATACAAACAACTGTGAACCTACTTTTGCCTCACCCTGTGTGCATCAAAATTTAAGACCATTATACCCTTTGATTCAGCAAATCTCATCCTACAGATAAATCCTCACCCATGCAAACAATGTAGTAAGTTAGTCACTAAAAAACTGTAATAGCAAAAGTTTGGAAACAATTTAAATGTCCATCAATAGAGCAGCGCTTAAATATATAAAAATATTGTATCTACAGAAATGAGTCTTTGGCAGTTGTGAAAAATAGTGAAGAACAATTTAAAAAGTAACTTCAGCCCTGGCTGGCATGGCTGGCGTGGCTCAGTGGATTGAGCGTCGGCCTGCGAACCAAAGGGTCACTGGTTCGATTCCCACTCAAGGGCACATGCCTGGGTTGCAAGCCAGATCCCCAGTGACGGGTGTGTGAGATGCAACCACACACTGATGCTTCTCTCCCTCTTTCTCTCTCCCTTCCCCTCTCTAAAAATAAGTAAAATCTTATTTTTAAAAAAACTTCAAACATTAAAAAATTAAAATTATACCTATAATATATGTAGAGGTTTTTAAAAAAAACCCTCAACCAAGGACATGCTTATTGATTTTTTAAAAAACATTTATTTTTAGAAAGGGGAGGGGAAGGAGAAAGAGGGGGAAAGAAATATCAATGTGCAAGAGAAACATTAGTTGGTTGCTTCTCACAGACTCCCAACCGGGGACCTGGCCCACAACCCAAGCATGTGCCCTCACAGGGAATTGAACTGCTGACCCTTTAGTTTTCAGGCTGGCGCTCAATCCACTGAACACACCAGCCAGGGCAACTGATTGTCTCTCACATGCCCCAAACAAGGGCCTGGCCTGCAACCCAGGCATAGGCCCAGACAGAAAACTAAACAGGCATATTTTTGGTTTGTACACTACACCCAATCCCCTGATCCCCACAGTCAGGGTTTCTTATTGATTTTGAGGAGAGAAGAAGGGAGAGGGAGGGGAGGGAAGGAGAGGGAAGGAGTAAGAGAGAAAACATCAACGTGAGAGAAATACATCGATCAAGTGCCTCCCTTATGTGCCCAGACCAGGGGTCAAACCCTCAACCTAGGCATGTGCCCTGACTGGAGATTGAACCTGCAACCCTTTCTTTGGTGTACGGGAAGATGTTCCAACCAACTGGGCACTCCGCCAGGTCATGTATAGACTTTTTACCCACTATTAACATTTTATCCCATTTATGTTACCATTTGCATACTCTCTAGCAATACTATATATATTTTTTTCCATGAACCATTTAGAGGCAGATAATATCATGGCCTTTCTCCCTAAATACTTCAGAGTACATTTTGTAAGAATATGAATATTCTATTACATAACCATAGTATTGTTATTAACTTTATAAATTTATATTGGTACAATACTGTTATCTAATCCACCATATGCCAATTTTGTCAGGTCTGAATAATGTCAAGTAGTAATACAAGATTCAGTCTAGGGTAAGGCATTGCATTTAGATGTCATGTCTGTGTAGCTTCAAATTAAGGAAATTCTTGTCTCCAAAATAATCAAGTGAAAAAAGCAACTGGAAAAATGTGTCTAGTACACTACCACTTATGTATAAAAAAGAGGAAAAAGAGACTACGTATAATACTTTTATTCATCTATATATAGACTATTCCCCTCAGAAAGATAAAATAAATAAACCCCAAACCAAAAAAGAACTAGTTAATACTAGCTGCCTCCAAAAAAAAAAAAAAAGAAATTGCCCTGGCTTGGTGGAAGAAAGACTTACTGTAATACCTTTTGAATCTTTTAAATTTTGAACTATATAAATGTATAACCTAATAAAGTAAAATAAAAAGTGCTGCTGCTATGGGCAATTATTAAGTACAGTCTATCCATATTCTTTACTAAAACTATTTTTAGCTCTGTCCAGCGAGGCTCAGTTGGTTGAGAGCGAGGCTCAGTTGGTTGAGCACCGTCCCTCAAAGGGAAGGGCTGCTGGTTTCATTCCCGGTCAGGGTAGTCACCTGGGTCGCAGGCCAGGCCCCTGCCTGGGGGCGTGTGAGAGGCAAACAATTGATGTTTCTCCCACACATTGGTATTTCTCTCCCTCTCTTTCTCCCTCCCTTCCCCTCGCTCTAAAAATAAACAAACATAATATTTAAAACTATTTTTAGTTGGGTGAACTGCTAAGGCTAAAAAGAATATTCTGACATCCAACTTTGTTCTCTGTTCTCACTTCTGTTCCCAGAAACAAAAGCAAGAGACTCAAGACCACAAAGGAGTATATCCTAAGACAACAGAGTCCAGTCCCAATTACCTATTTAGAAAAGAGTCTCAAGTCCTCTCTAATATGTGATAGTCTCTAACCTTTTTAAAAAATAGTGTCAAGCCTCTGTTTCACTCAAAACAACCATTAGGAATAGCACAGGAGCTTTACTGATTGAAAAGATTTATCCCCATGTAAACTTGCTCATTTCATACAGAACAGAACACATACAAAATACTCCTTTTATGTACACCCGACAGAGGTATCCTCCCAGACTCATCTTTTTGAGGTTGCCCTCAAAACCATCAGCAACAGAAGGTCTGGACTTCAAGACAAGAAATCTGAGTCATGAATATGGGAACTTGATACCTATCACTTAAAAGCGTTCTCAACCAGTACTACAGTCCTGAGATTAAGAAATCAAAATATTCTACACTGGTTCAACTACTTAAAAGGCAAGAGATAATATGTAAATTTGCTGTTAAAGATTCTTATAAATTTTGCATTAAAGATGGGCTCTCCAGAAAGTTTAATTAGAAAAAGACATGCCAAAATACAGTTTAGGGGTCATCACAGCTTTAGTCCTCTAATGCAAGTCCATTTTAAGAGAAAAGGCACAGACTAGGCATGAAGACAGGTTATTTTTTAATTTAGTAAGCACAGAGCTGATAAAAGGTAAGTTCTAAACTTCACTGAAAATACATGGCTGAGAGCCCCTAACTATAATTAAAGTAAAAAAAGACAGACCTCATGTTAATGACCTAGAATATACTCTAAGTCTTTTAAATCTGGAAAAATTAAAAGACACAAAAAGAATTTATAGTGGAATGAAATAAAAGTTTTTTAACATTATGCAGTCTGTTCTTACTGAAAAGGTTACTACTTACCTTTCCATGTTAATAGGTGGACCATGCACTTTGGTTGCTTCGGATGTACGCTTGCCCATATTGGAGGACATAATAGTTTCGCCTTCGGATTTCAATTTGTCCACAAAGTTATCTACTTCCTTTCCTTTGGCTCCAAGTTTCAAAGCCTTGCTGGGGCCTGAAGGTCTAAAGTGGAAGAATACAAAATAAGAAAAAATATACACACGATTTAAAAACAAAATCAAAACACACATTAATAACCCCGTATCTTTCAAGCTTTCCCTGAAGCAGTTTTTTAAGAGAAATGTGAAGACCTCAAGGGAAAATACCAAGCGTTCCAGTGTTTAGTAGATTAGATAGCTGAGTCACTATTAACATGCAAGCTTCAAGGACCCAAAGATCAAAGCTATATTTTGTAAGCATGCATGAGCTGATGAAAACTTTGTATCTTCCACCTGTGTACAAACTTTTACATATAATTTCAGGTAGGCACAAATTCTCCTTGAAATCCATTCATGAATACCAGATCAAAAATCCATGTTCTATAAACAGTTAAATTCTCCTCTTCTCCCAAAACAGGGCAACTCTCATAGGAAACTGAGGTCATGGCATCATTTACAAAAGAACTCTCTTATACACAAAAGGGAAAACACCACAGATTTATCCCCATATAATGTAGCCAAATTCAATATTACATCTTACTTCATCAAGTCACTCTTTACTGCCTGCCCAAAAAGCAGGTTATCACTCCAAAAAGACACATACAGTCTTCACCTGCCATTCTAAGGCTGCTGGTAATACAATGGATTATACCTGGCTGGTGCGGGTGCCACTTTTGGTTTGTCAGTTTCAATAATGGTCTCTGTAATCATGGCAGCTGTGCTGCCTCCAGAGACTGCAGAACTTCCAAATCCCCCAAATCCTGGTGCTTTTTTGCCCTGTCTCTCTGCATCTCTTCGGGCCTGTTGTAATTCCTTTGCTTTACGCCGCATTTCAGCCTTGGCTTCACGTTCTTGAGTCTATGAAAAAAGACATATATACACAGGTGTGGCTTTGAGTACAGTCTACACTAGCAAATAAAAACAGGATAATCAGATAGTGACACTTAAAAGAAAAGACATATAAACTGGCAGTCCCAGAGAAGAAACTATTTACCTCTCTGACTGCTCTGAACACCTTCTCCTCATGAGAATCCATTTCTGTGAAGGTTCTGATCTGTGCCAGATTAACATTCTCCCGGTATCCCAGGGCAACAATTTCATCAAAAGCAAAAATCAAATCAAAACAGTGATCAGATATTTCATTCTCCTCTAAGGCTCGGCAATATTCAGGGATCTAATCATGGACAGCAATGAAAAAGAAAGATTTATCAGCAGTTATATTTTTCAAGACTTATCTTTAAAATACACAAATTTTAATAAACCTAAGTCCCTTTACTAAATCCTTTCACTCTATTTTAAGCAAGACTTTGGCATAAAATCCTTCTGTGTATCTATATCAATAAGGCTTTTTTTTTGGTGCTTCAAAAAAATTCTTTCATAATCAAGATTTTGATTTTCTTTAGAAAACAGACATTTCAATTTGTACACAATTCTTACCATACATACCAAAAACTTAAAAAGTCTGTTGTTATGATTCTTTTCTAAACAGTTACTCCAGTGACTTTACAGCTTAAAATTTGGAGGCTAATTTCCCTTAAGAGAGTAGTAGCAAGTACATGTATCTTCAAATGTTGATATGCTATTACATCAAAATCCTACTAATTCTCAATTTAATATCATATATACTACATAATCAAATTTCCAATATTTCACAGCATGTTAACATATTACTAGAAAAACTGGTCCACCACACCAAAGACTCAGGGAGTGCACAAAATTCTGGCAGGGAGAGCCAAGAACAAGAAATGGTTTTCTTTAGGAAATAATTCTACCAAAAACATGACAGTAGAATTTAAAATGTTCAAGACATATTAAATGAATGACTAACTCCAAGTTGTTATTTAGTATACTCAGTACTATAAAAACTCCCTTCCCTCTATGGAATGTTAAGTTGACATCCAAGACAATCAAAACCTCCCATATTCAATATCCCACTATTTTCTGGTTGTCTCAAAAAAATACACAACCAGCAAGTGATTTCACCTCTTACAAAAAAAAAAGAAAGAAAGAAAGCAGTCCTGGCTGGTGTGGCTTAGTGGATTGAATGCCAGCCTGAGAACCAAAGGGTCTCCAGGTAGATTCCCAATCAGGGCATATGCCTGGGTGGCTGGCCAGGTCCCCAGCTGAGGGCTTGCGAGAGGTAACCACACACTGATGTTTCTCACCCTCTCTTTCTCCCTATCATCCCCTCTCTCTAGAAATAAATAAAATCTTCTAAAAAAATTTTTAAAAATGAATAAAGAGCTGTAGCAATAAGCTGCTGGGGTGGGGGTGAGGAAGCATGGAGCATGCAAACTGATAAGCATCAGCTATTTTGAGTAAAAATAGTTTCACGCAAAATTTAAAGCAAAAGACTGTAATCTACTGTTACAGAAAGACTCTTACCACTCTTGAGAAGAGCCTTAGGGTCTCAAGATCTTCTAAGATGTTGCTGTTTTTGGTAGTGATCAGTACCATGTACAATTTCTCCATAGGCTGGTAGACATATCTTACACTCTCTGTTTCAACAAACGTATGTTGTTTTCCAGTGTTCATGAGCTTTGGAAAAGCTGCTAACAAGCCCTCAATCCGAGTTCGGGTCATCTCCACAAACTGTCGAGAAACAATAGCCTTTCCTGCTTTCGTGCAGACTGCTGCTGCCAACAGCACCTGCCAGGAACATATATGTAAATAAGTACAAATTAATTATTTCATCACATCTGTTTTCTCGACATTGTCAGAGCTTCCATAGAATGACACTTTTTAAAAGAATTTTTTAAAAAATCCTCACATGAGGATGCATTTGTTGACTTGGGTAAGAGACAAGAGAGGAATAGAGAGACAGAGACATTGATGTGAGGAAAAAAACAGCAACTGGTTGCTTACTGTACACACAACAACCAGGACCAAACCCACAAGCTAGATAAGTGTCCTGACTGGGAATCAAACCAGTGACCTTTTGGTGCACAAGATGACACTCCAAACAACTGAAAATGACTTTTAAACTCTATTTCATGGTTCTTTTAACTATAGTATATAATTCATAAGAAAAGCTAAAGTAAAGGAAAATAAACTATTACTCCTGTTTCAATAACATACCTAAAGAAGATTTAGTAAAGAAATAATGATTTCCAAACCTCTATATGCATTATGAATGGTCCTCCTGTGACTCAGAAATGGGTTGCTCTTTGCTTTGGTGGGCTCATAAAGAAGAGTTTTAACTTTTTCTGAGAGGAACAGAGATTGACACAGCCAAACTGAGGTCTAATCACACAGATTAAAGGTTTGTAAGAAGCCCTGGCTGGTGTAGCTCAGTGGATTGAGTGCCAACCTGTGAACCAAAGGGTCACAGGTTCAATTCCCAGTTTAGGGCACATGCCTGGGCCGTGGGCCAGGTCCCCAGTAGAGGGCACACAAGAGGCAGCCACCCATTGATGTTTTGTTTCTCTCCCTCCCTTTCTCTCTCCCTCCTCCTTTCTATAAATAAATAAATAAACAAGCAAAAAAATAAATAAAATCTTTAAGAAGCCAGCCAAAATGGAGGTGTAGGTGGATACACTTTGCCTCCTGGCACAACCAAAAAAAGGACAACAAATTTAAAAACAAAAAATAACCAGAACTGCCAGAAAATTGAATAACCAGGAAGTTAAAGCCAGGAAGTCCAACAACCAAGGAGTTAAAGAAAGAACGTTCACTCAGACCAGTAGAAAGGGCAGAGACAGGCAGCTGGCGCAGAGAGGACACGCGGCAAGGTGGCGGCTGGAGGACCAGGCAGTCTCACATTTGCATGAGGATAAACCAGAGGAACAGCTGGGGAGCAAGACAAACCGTGCAATCCAAGGTTCCAGTGCGGGAAAAGAAAGCCTCAAAACCTCTGGAGGTAAAAACGTGTGCGGGTGGCACGGGCAGGAGAAACTCCCAGCCTTACACGAGAGTTCATTGGAGAGACCCAAGGGGTCCTAGAAGCTACACAAGCCCACCCACCTGGGAATCAGCACCAGAAGGGCCCAACCTGCTTGCAAGGGAAGTGATGGAAAGTCAGCCTAGAGCCAAGCAAGTGGCATTGTTCCCTCTCTGACCCCTCCCCCACATACAGTGTCACAACAGCAGAGAAGTGGGTAGCCCCACCCTACCAAATACCTAAGGCTCTGCTCCTTACAACATAACAGGTGAGCTGAGACAAATAGGGCCCAAATGAAAGAAAAGAGCAAAACTTCAGAAAAAGAACTAAGCAATGAGAAGAGAGCCAACCTATCAGATGCAGAGTTCAAAACACTGGTAATCAGACTGCTCACAGAAATGATTGAGTACAGACACAAATAAAGGAAGAAGTAAAGGCATACAAAGTGAAATAAAGAAAAATATACAGGGAACCAACAGTGAAGAAAAGCAGACCAGGACTCGAATCAACGATTTGGGACAGAAGGAAGAGATAAATATTCAACCAGAACAGAATGAAGAAACAAGAATTCAAAAAATGAGGAGAGGCTTAGGAACCTCTGGGACAACTTTAAACATTCCAACATCCAAATCATAGGGGTGCCAGGAGGAGAAGAGGAAGAGCAAGAAATTGAAAACTTATTTGAACAAATAATGAAGGATGACTTCCCCAATCTGTCCAAGGAAAGAGACTTCCAGGAGATCCAGGAAGCTCAGAGTCCCAAAGAAGGTGGATACAAGGAGAAACACACCAAGACACGTCATAATTAAATTGCCCAAGATTAAATATAACAAGAGAATCTTAAAAACAGCAAGAGAAAAGGAGATAGTTACCTACAAAGGAGTTCCCCTAAGACTATCAGTTGATTTCTCAAAAGAAACCTTAAAGGCAAGGAAGAGCTGGGAGGAAGTATTTCAAGTCATGAAAGCCAAGGACCTACATCCAAGATTCCTCTATCCAACAAAACTATCATTTATAATGGAAGGGCAGATAAAGTGCTTCCCAGATAAGGTAAAGCTAAAGGAGTTCATCATCACCAAGCTCTTATTATATGAAATGTTAAAGAGAATTACCTAAGAAAAAAGATGATCAAAACTATGAACAGTGAAATGACAACAAACTCACAACTATCAACAACGGGCCCTACAAAAACAAAAACAATCTAAGCAAACAACTAGAACAGGAACAGAATCACAGAAATAGAGATCACATGGAGGGTTATCAGTGAAGAGAGGGAAGAATGGGGGGCAGGTACAGGGAATAAGAATAATTGGTAGGTACAATAATTGGTAGGTGGGAGGGGGGTCAACAATAATATAGGAAATGGAGAATCCAAAGAACTTATATGTGCGACCCCATGGATATGAAATAAGGGGGGGAATGCTGGAAGGAGGTGGAGTGCAATGCAGAGGGGGAGAAAGGGGAGAAAAAAAAATGGGACAACTATAATAGCATAATAAATAAAAATATACTAAAAAAATCCAGACATAGGTTTCAAAATACTCTAACAACATATTGACTGTGCCACATTCCTATTTATATATTCCAGTTAACAAGAAACCTTTTTTAAAATATTCTCATCAAGAAAATAGAGGAATTCTCATATATTTGGGATAAGCTCACATTGGTTTCTCCTTTTCCCCAACTACTAAGTGAATTAGAAATTTGCAAAGAACCAAGTTGATCTATCAGAAAAACCAAATGACTGGGAGTCAGAAGATGTGGGTTGTAGTTTTTGTTCTTTCTTTTTTTAAAAGATTTTTATTTATTTATTTATTTTTAGAGAGGGGAAAGGAGGGAGAAAGAGAGGGAGAGAAACATCAATGTGTGGTTGCCTCTTGCACACCCCTTACTGGGAACTTGGCCTGCAACCCAAGCATGTGCCCTGACTGGGAATCAAACCAGAAACCATTTGGTTCACAGGCCAGCACTCAATCCACTGAGCCACATTAGTCAGGGCTAGTTTTTGTTCATTTATTTACTGTCTGACCTTAAGTTACTCAGCTTCTTTCAGACTCAGCTTCTTTGCTGTATTATGGAGCATCATGTAACTACCTAACAAGCCATATGAGGGTCAAATGAGTATAATGAAGGTGCAAGCCAAAGCAGCATATAACTTATACTACCTATGTTCAGCAATGTAAAATAGCACAATTGCCAAGAAATGTAATTCATTAAAAAAATTTTTTTTGCCACTTCAAGGTAACAGATTTTAACCTCTATGGGTTTGTCAATATTTTGATATTCAAATAATGAAGACAGATGCTCTCCCTAAAAAAATTTACTTAAAATTTTAGGGAATTCGTAAGAGCCTCTAGAGCAGTAATTCTGAAATGGCCCAAAGAGAACTGCTTTATGCAATGGGAACTGGTACTAATAAATGAGAGCATATTGCAAATGTAATCCTTGCAAGAGCGCTCCCCATCATTTAAAAAAAAAAAAAAAAAAAAAGGCAAAGCAAAAGCTGACAATCACTGTCCTAGGAATTATGGTCCTTTACCTTGGAATTTTATGAGGTTTTGAAAGAATAAAATAAGTCCCAGTTAAGATACTTAGTACAACTTAAACACACGAAGTCCTATGTCTATCTAGAGAAAGCACTGCTCAGACTAAACCTTCAGAGCTATATAAATATGCTGATTTAATACAAAACCCATATCTAAAATATCTAATAATAATTCTGTTAGAAACAATGTGGTAGGTTTCAGGGTAGTCTTCAGCAGCTGGAATTTAAAATTCCTCCATACCATATATATAGAATTTAGGTAAAAATTAACATCAAAGCCAACATAAAAGGGAAAAAGGAACAAAAAGCAACCTGTAACAAAAAAGGTGTGTGCAATGGAAAAGGGCGATTCATCCACTCTGTTTTATTGGGATTCCATTTTACCAATATTAGTATAAGAATTAACTAAATAGCCCTGACTGGTGTGGCTCAGTGGGCTGGATGTTGTCCTGCAAACTGAAAGGTCGCCAGGTTCGATTCCTGGTCAGGGCACATGCCTGGGTTTCTGGCCAGGTCCCCACTGGGGGCATGCAAGAGGCCAAAAAAAAAGAAAATTTCTCTCACACATCTGTGTTTTTCTCCCTCTCTTTCCCCCTTCCTTCCCCTCCTCTAAAAATAAGTAAATCTTTAAAAAAGAACTAAATAATTATTTATTAAGTACTTACTGTACACACTACATGCTGAGAATAGTAAATTAGATTGGCATTCTTCCCTCATCTTTTGTAATTTCTTAAAACTTTATCTAAAATTTTTTTATAATTATGTATGGTGACAAGTGTTACCTAGACCTGTTATGATTATTTCCCAATATATACAAATATTGAATTATTATGTTGCACAACTGAAACAAATGTTACATGTCAGTTATACCTCAATGAAAAAAAAAAAAAAAAAAAAGAAGCCTAGTAGGGACAGGTAGGCAGACTGTCAAGTAATGTGCTATGGGAATTCAGAGGAGGAAGAGAAAAGGGATAACCTCATAGAACAGCATTTAAGTTATGCTTTGATGAAATCGGGGGATGTGAATATGTAAAGATGAAGAAACAGTATGGTAAAATGCAGATCCCAAGGAGAAAAACTCTCAAACTCTCTTTGGGTCATTTCATTATCCAGACACAAACAAAGTAAGGCTCCCAAAGTAGGACCAACGTGCCCCACACAAAGTATGGATTTAAACACCTAAGACAGTCCACACCACAATTACAGGGTCCACGAGGCTGACAC